AAGATGTGATTAAGTTAAGGATCTTGAGAGATAGAGCTTATCCTGGATCATCCAGGCGGTCCCTAAATCCAGTGACAGGTGTCCTGACAAGAGATACCCACAGAGGAGAACGCACAGCAGGGAAGGGGGAGGCATTGCGACCATGCAAACAGACTTTGGAGTGATGACACAAGTCAGGGAATACCAACAGCCACAGACAGAACGGAGTGTCCCCTGAAGTCTTGGGATGGAGCCTCTTCTCTGACTGGGCCCCACTAGGAACACTATACTCTCACCTTCACAGATGGTTGTAATTCTCTCATCTCAACATGTTCTTTTTTTAAAAAAAAAAAATTAAAAAAACTTTTGAGATAATGGTAGATTCACATGCAGTTGTAAGAAACGGTACAGAGAGATCCTGTGTACCCTCTACACAGATCCCCCCCAATGGTGACATCTTGTAAAACTTGAATACGACATCACAGCCCGGATGTGGATCGACATCGATAAAAAATCCACACATCTTGTTCAGCTTTCTCCAGGTTTACTTGTTTGCATTCGTGCGTATTTAGTTCTATGCAATTTCATCACACACGTAGGTTTGTGTATTCACCACCACAGTCGAGATACAGAACAGTTCTATCGCCGGAAGGAGTCCTTGCATAGTCCTTTTATAACACACCCACCTCTTTTCCTCCTTACCCCTGGAAATCACTACTCTTCATTTCTACCATGTTGGAATTTCAAGAATGTTATATAAATGGAATATGTTATGCAATTTTAATTTTTTAAAAAAATTTAGTATAATTCCCAGATTTCAACCAAATTATGGCAAGTATCATAGTTCCTTTTTATTGCTGAGTAGTATTGCATCCTGTGCCTTTTTACACTGTGTCCTCCCAATTTTCCCCACCTAAGGGGGGCCCAGTGTACATACACCTGCTGGCCACAGCTGACTCAACAAGGAGTGAGCACTGGCTCACCCTGGCTGAGCCAATGAGTCCCCTCCTCAGGCAATCTAGAATTGAACTAGGAGATTCCCATTCTTTCAAAACCTGGCTTTTTTGTGGGGGAGGCGGGGTGTAGCTTAAAAACCAAGAGCTACTGGTTTTGGTCTGGGAGGCAGAGAAAGTTGGCCCACAGTGGAGTACAGGTGTTGAATCAGAGGAAGAGTGTGGATGAGGTGGCAAGGCGACATGTCTGTGTTACTGAGTTCCAGCCCTAGCGGTGGGAGTCTTGCAGGCTGGATTCAGAGACACTCCTATAACCTTATACCCACAACCCTTCCCCAGCCTCATCCCTAGCCCTTGTTAGCTCAAATGAGCTCCTTAGATGTGACTCAACTAGACTGGGGTCTCTTTCAGGACAGAAAATGATTTTCTATATTCTAGAATTTTTGTTTAAAAGTCCTTGGCATTCTGGGCCTGCTTCTCTTTCCTCATTTCTCCCTCTCCCTTTGCAGAGAATCTCAGACAGAACACACGATGCCTGCCTGCCTGCCATCTCGGTCCTTCTGCCTCTTCCAAAGGGCTTTGAAAACCCCTTAATTAACACTGAGGTCCCACAGCCCTTATGTCCCCAATTTTCAGGATGACTTTCCTTATCTTTTTATCCTTAAATTGCTTTTATGGGTGGTTTTCTCCTTTCCCCATCAGATCCGGAGACCCCTGAAACCTGAGACTCCCCCCAGCCCCTGCAGTTTGGGAGTTCCTGGAAGGCAGAGAGAATGTCTTCATTAATCTTGTAGATCCTTCGGGGAAGAACTTGTCTTCTACTTTTTAAATCCTGGACTGATACTAGCTCCGCACACTGTGGGTGCTCAATAAATGTTGATTGACTGCATAAACAATAGACTTTAGTCCCCTGGAGTATCATATTCTTTCTTTCCGCAGGGAGAAAGTAATAACATTAGGCAGAGCAGGCTGGATCTCTTAATGTGATTACCTGGGATTTGTGAGCCAGCGACTCTTTCCCCCAACTTTATTGGCTACATCCATCTCCACAGAATAGATGTTACCAAACAGAGACCACTAATGTTGCTGGCCAAATGGTGGGTTACCACTAATTGCTCTGTTATCTTGATTCTATCACAACAGAAGGTGCTGCCTCCAGCCCAAGATAGGGGCAGAACCAAACGCAGCTGTGGCAGTGGTTGTACCCAAACAAATATAACCTACGTAAGTTCAACAGTGTTGAACTTACTCTGTATTTGTATTTAAGACATCCTCCATGCCAATGTATGACCATAGTAAATTATTTTTTAACCTTTTAAAAATAGGACAAATTGAGATACAATTCGCATATTGCATAAAGTGCATGATTCAATGGCTTTTAGTACATTAGACTTGTGCAACCATCTCCACAATCAATTTTATAACACTTTCTTACCCCCTGAAAAGAAACTCCATACCTACTGCCAGTCACTCCCCATTCCCTCCTAACCCCCAGCCCTAGGAAACCACTAATCTATTTCGTTCCTATAGATTTGCCTGTTCTGGACATTTAGTATAAACGGAACCATATAATATGTGATCTTTTTGTAACTGGCCTCTTTCACTTAGCATGTTTTCAAGGTTCATCCATATAGGGACATATAGCAGTACTTCATTCTTACTTATTGACAAAATATCCCATTATATGGATATACCATATTTTATTTATTCATTCATCAGCTGATGGACATTTGGGTTGCCACTTTTAGCAAGTTATTTCTGCATGTTTCAACTTATTCTTCTATAAGAAAGAGAGTTAACAGCTGCCTTTCTCAGGGGATCATGGGAGATACATAGGGAATATATGAAATACATTCTAAACCACAAAGCACTACAGGACTGTGAAGACATTTTAATATTTATATAACATTATATAAATATTATGATCCCAAGGGCCAGCCTAACTTCCCTGAGCTTATGGCCTATTGTTGGCTAACTCAGGGCAATTAGGTATCTCCCTGGTCTCATCTCTACATAGTCCATTCTGCTTTTTTTCTAGGTAATGGACTGCATCTCTCAGCCTGGCCTATCATCTCATCCACATTTGTTGCTAGGAGACCAGGTTAGAATATGCTTAGCTCAGTGCAATCCACTGCCACTGTATAGAATCACTCAAATCACAGCAGAATGATATTCCAACATCAAGGCAGTCACATTTCATACCGATTTTTAGCAAGACCAAGGAAAAGGGCTGAAGCTATAGGCATTAAGGGCCTAGGTTTACCAAATATCTTGCCAACTCTTTTTTTTTTTTAATTTTAGGTTAGCGTTCTTTTCATACTCATGTGCGTCAGGGTGATGTCCCCCCTCCAGCCATCATGTAAGTTTGCTAAGGTAATGCAAAAATATTTTTTAATATTAGACCATGAGAAAATGAATTAGGAAGGAAAACCTGTTGCCATATTAAGTACAAAAATTTAAAAATCCAATTCAGATATAAATACTATCTGCTCCCATAACTTCCTGCTATTTTTTGCAGGTATTGCACAGCTATAAAATGTGTGGGTGCAAGGAGGATGGAGGGAGAAGGCCAGGGTGGGCAGTGGATTATATAAGAATGATTGTTTCCTTTACCACTGAACATAACTTCCCCCTTTAAAGCCTTGGTAAGAGCAGCTGGGGATAATGAACAGTGGTTAAAGATGCTTTGTTTTACATTCAGCAAAAAGGATCATTAACACCTCAACTGTTTTTTTTTTACCAAGCTTGTGGAAGGGCTCCTGCTGCTGTTGATAATCACGGTAACCCTCAGGGTAGCAGGGGCAAAGGGGTGGGCAAAATGCCACCAGAAAATGGCATTCACTGATTTGGATTATGTGCACCACTGCTCCTCTCCATTCACGTGCTTAATTAAGAGCTGACTAGTACAAAATAAATGAAACTGCAATTCTTCACTGGAACTATCTGGGGACCAACAGAAATTCTGCCGGGAGGGTGCGTGCCAGAAAAAATCCTTTATTACCGTCTCCCTGTTATATTCCCATTCTAGAGTCAGTGTTAATGTCACATCTCATTCTCCAAGAGACATCTTATTGCAATGGTTATACAGGAGGAGTAGTACAGTTTCATCTTCATTTTATCAAGGGTGAAATCAAAGCAAGAAGCTGTGACAAGGACAACAGTGTTAGTCTAGGGCATACCTCGCAATCTCATCAGGGAAAACTGTAGTAGGAATGTTGATTATAGTTGGCTCAACCTTATCCATGACATCATTCAAAAGTTTTTGTAATAGTCTCTAGCGACCACCTGGTAGACTGCCTGGGAGTCATTCCCATTTGTTCAGTCCCTGAGGGGAAAGCAAACGGAATTGCTTTCTTTTTTTTTTTTTTGAGACAGAGTCTCACTCTGTTGCCTGGGCTAGAGTGCCATGACGTCAGCCCAGCTCATAGCAACCTCAAACTCCTGCGCTCAAGTGATCCTCCTGCCTCAGCCTCCCAGATAGCTGGGACTACAGGCATGCACCACCATGCCCGGTTAATTTTTTCTATTTTTAGTTGTTTGGCCAATTTCTTTCTATTTTTTTTTTTTTTTGAGACAGAGTCTCACTCTTTTGCCTGGGCTAGAGTAAGTGCCGTGGCGTCAGCCTAGCTCACAGCAACCTCAAACTCCTGGGCTCAAGCGATCCTCAGCCTCCTGAGTAGCTGGGACTATAGGCATGTGCCACCATGCCCGGCTAATTTTTTTCTATATATTTTTAGTAGTCCGATTGATTTCCTTCTATTTTTCGTAGAGACGGGGTCTCGCTCTTGCTCAGGCTGGTCTCGAACTCCTGAGCTCAAACGATCCACCTGCCTCGGTCTCCCAGAGTGCTGGGATTACAGGCGTGAGCCACCGCGCCTGGCCTGGAATTGCTTTCTTATAGTTCAATAAGGCAGATCTGGATAGAGGGCATTGAACTTAGTTCACAAAGGGTGCCAAAATCCACACTGCTCCTTTTCAGAAAATGCATGGAAAGTTAGAGCAAGAAGTCAGGGCCCCAGGGTTCTCAAACTAATGCTTCATCACCTCTCTCCCCACCTCAAGATAATGGCCAGGACAGTTTTGTTGAATAGGTAAGACAGGTAAAGAGAAATCATTGGCGAGGTCTGCCACTCTCACAGTCCTTTTGATCACACTTTTCCCATAATCTTATAAAATGAAAGACCATAAACTGAAAGTTTGTTTTAAATTACCTAAGTCCCTGAAATAGAAGAGTAATTTATTTTTAGTATTAAAGAGATTAACAATAGTTGTCTCATTATTCTGACTTATCCATATTCAAACTCACCTGCTCAGAAAGTGGCAAACCCATAGAGCTTCTAACAATCTCTACTTAAACCATTAAAAAAGGACTTATGACAATAAAAATCATGTGCATAGGAAAGATCAAAGAGTTGAAAATGCCAATCAGAGGTATGCAGAGAGAAAGAAGGCTTTCTGTGATTGAAATACGATTTCTGTCCATGGTTGAGGAAGAAGATGCTTCTTTTGGGAGCTGAGAAATTAAAATGAGAAAACATTGGTATCCAGATTGGATGTCCAAGTTCTTTGCTGTGCTATTTTTGGCTAGTCTAATGCAATCACCTGGAGAAAGAAGTCCAAGGAAAAGGAAGGAATTCTCAACCTGTGATCAATCTCCAGCCCCAGGGTTAGAACTGAGGACTCAGTACAAATATTCTCAAGGCCTGACCCTGAACAGCAGTAGGACAACTTAGAAAACTAATCACTCAGTATCAGATCAGGCCTGTTGTGAATACACATGTCAGTTCCGTCCCAGAGCCCTTGTACTGGAGACTCCTGGAAGAATGGGCACTATAGGTGAGAGGATGATACATCTAGAGTTATATGACTTAAAGGTAGTAACCCACAAGGATGGAAGCAGTAGCCCTTAACACTACCCTTCAGATGATCGACAACTCTACCTTTAGGGGCAGCAGCACAGAGGAAATCCCCAGTAATTTCAGGTTAGGTAGGATTTTGACTCACATAACTCATAGTAGAAGCTACAGGTTCTACTCTATAAAATCTATGTACAGCATAGACCCAAGAGGCTGGAACACTTATAGGGAGTGGCAGAACACATGGTCTTCAAAGATCTGCTTCTCTCTTTCTGAGAAGACCTTGTCACAAATTGGACATTTCAAACAAAGGGTCAGCATCTGCTGCTGCTCCAAGATGTGATCACAAATGCCATCAGCAAAGTCTGATTCGCAGATGGGGCATTTCTTGATGGAGAGCTGGGTAGAAGAGCAAAGAGTCAGTATGAATGTAAGTTATTTGTGGCAGAGACATGTTCATCTTGTTTTCTACTGACTGTATCCTCAGTGCCTAGCATCGGTGGATGAAACAGAATGCACATTTGGAGATACTCCTTGGATTAAAAAGGGCAAATATTGCTGAAGCAGCCCACATAGCGTCTAGCCTGGAAGGGGCACTGGACATGCCTCGTTTGGCTAGCCACCTGGTTCATATCTCCTCCCTACCTATGCTACCAAACTCAGCTCAGAGGTGGAGATCTTCAGCTTTCTTCTTCCCACCTCAATAGGCTGGCTCAGCTTTAGGCCCAGAACAAACTGATCCAGGTGACCTCTGGAGTTATCAAAATGAACCAGTCTCCCTATGGTTATCCCATGAACTGGAGCAGGAAGGGAAATTTTCTCTTTTGATTTGATGTGAGCAATCTCATGAATCAAATACTTACCAGGCTGGGGGAAGAACTTTCCTGGATACCTGGGAAATTAAAAAGATTCCATTCAATAAAAAAATATCATCCCTAGATTCTCCACCTGTGTTCTGGTAGATATCTTCTGTAATTTTCACTGTTCCCTTTCTCCCCACTGCCTGCCTCTTTCCCATATGCATATATTTACTTCTAATAGAGGGAATCTAGGTCAAAGATAAGGAGAAAAGAAAAAAAATAATGAAATGGCATGTTCAATAACCATGTATATATATGCTATATAATCAGAAAACACAATAAACCTATTTTCAGAGGGGGAAAATAAATGAGATTTTAATAAAAATAATAACAATTTAACAAGGAAACAGTCTGAAAATAGATTTTAAGACTGCATCCATGCAAACACTTATTTTTCAAATTAAATGCTTAGACATATTTTTTATTTTTTTTTTTTTGAGACAGAGTCTCACTGTGTTGCCCGGGCTAGAGTGCCGTGGCGTCAGCCTAGCTCACAGCAACCTCAGACTCCTGGGCTCAAGCGATCCTCCTGCCTCAGCCTCCTGAGTAGCTGGGACTACGGGCATGCGCCACCATGCCTGGCTAATTTTTTCTATATATTTTTAGTCGTCCAATTAATTTCTTTCTATTTTCAGTAGAGATGGGGTCTCGCTCTTGCTCAGGCTGGTTTCGAACTCCTGAGCTCAAACAATCCGCCCACCTCGGCCTCCCAGAGAGCTAGGATTACAGGCGTGAGCCACCGCGCCCGTCCCTGGTTGTGATTTTTAAGATAATTCTACTGCTTTAAACTGCCTAAAAAAAGTAAATGAGATCTTATATCGCTTTTGGAGACAAAAGAGAAAAGCTCCCTGTTTGGCAAGGACATGTTACCACAAAAGTCCCAGAGTGACAAGCACGGTTTCACCCCCATTTCCTGTCCTACCACCCAGGAGTCTCTGTGGAGCATGCTCCTGCTACCCTGGGTCAGGCCGTCGGAGTGGCCGGGCAGCATAACCTGCCCCTCACGCTTCCATTGCTAAGCCTTAATTAGCTTCCTCAGCTTTGTATGTGTATATCTTCTACATAAAGACATTTCTCTGATTTATACATTTGGATTGTAGCCGCGGGACTCAATTTGTGTCTGCTGCCTCTAGGCGAATGATCTGATTTGCGTCTTCTCGATTCAGATTTATTTCTCAATTAACACTTCTCGCCTGGCAATCTTTCTATTGGGTCCTCAGCTCCTGCCCAGCAAGTCTTAACAATGAGACTGGTCTTAATTAGCATCTCAGAGAAAAAAAATTTAGCAGGGGAAAGGGATGCAGGCAGGGGTCTTCCAGTCAGAAAGGCAAAGTTGTCTTACCAGAATAGGGGTTCCCATAGACAAGTCCCGGATTTTGTTCTGCACCTTCCTGGTCTGAAGTAGGCACTTGGTAGGGCAAAGAGTCAAAATCCAGACCCATGTAAGTGAGCAATCTGCGGTTCTCCTTCTTCAAAAGCTAAGGACAGAGTATTTACAGACATGTTGAAAGACAACATTGAGAATGGCCACTAGGAACTAGCTAAGAGATGCCCATTAAAGGTAATTTTCGATTAGCAGTGTAGCACCAGAGAAGCTCAATAGGTGATAATCCACAATTCTTCAAAAGGGAAAGCAGCAGTCTCCATATTCCAAAGATCTGAGTTCTTTATATCCAAATTTAGACATATTTACTGGATTTTAAAAATATTAATACAAAATAGAATTTTAAATCTCTGAATACCCACCAACTGAAGAGGGGACAAAAGTTGTGTGGATAAATGAGGGTGGCAAGAGCTATATTAAGATTGAAACTTGTATATTATTGAAAGAAGAATATTTCTTTCAATTTCCTTCCTATGACAATTTTCTTACACAATGTAAATATTTATCTGAAATAATTTTTCTCTTGTTTTATCCTGCCAAATGGATAAAGCAAAAGAGAGAGTGAAAGGAAGGGAGGGCGGGAGGAAGATAATGAGAAAGAGAAAGAATGAGAGAGTAGAGAACAAGATACGAATGGCACAGACAGCATTTAAAGTTTTTAGAAAAAAATAAAATCAGTAAACCTCCCTTAATGTTTAAGATCTTTTCCATCCAATCTTTTCCATTGTGTTGCAAACTGTGCACGTACCCTGTCCCTCACTACTAGACTAACCCAGGAAAACAGAGATTTCAAACTCAAGGTGTACTTATCTAAATCAAGAGAATGGAGCCTGGACACCATAGCAAGACTCCATCTCTACAAGAAATTTAAAAAATTAGATGGGCTTGGTGGCGTGTCCCTATAGTCCCAGTTACTCAGGAGGCTGAGGTAGGATCGCTTGAGCCCAGGAGTTGGAGGCTGCAGTGAGCTATGATAGTGTCACTGCACTTCAACCTAGGCAAAGAGGAAGACCCTATCTCTTAAAAAAAAAAAAAAAAAAAAAAAAAGACCAGAAATAGATCCCAAAAGCCTTCGGCAAGCCTAGCATGGTGGCTCACACCTGCAATTCTAGCACTCTGGGAGGTTGAGCTGGGAGGATTGCTTGAGGTCAGGAGTAGGAGACCAGTCTGAGCAAGAGCAAGACCCTGTCTCTACTAAAAATAGAAAAATTAGCCAGGCAACTAAAATCAGAAAAAATTGCTGGGCGTGGTGGCACATGCCTGTGGTCCCAGCTACTCGGGAGGCTGAGGCAGGAGGATCTCTTGAGCCCAGGAGTCTGAGGTTGCTGTGAGCTAGGCTGATGCCATGGCACTCTAGCCAGGGTGACAAAGTAAGACTCTGTCTCAAAAAAAAAAAAAAAAAAAAAAAAACTCGTGACAAACATTGGCATAAATGATATAATCAAAAGTAGAAATTATTGAGAGGGAATTAGTCTTTAGTAGGTAAGAAGTTTCAGTGTTGCAAGATGGAAAAGTTCTGGACTTAACACTACTGAACTGTATACTTTAAAATTAATAAGATGGTAAATTTTATGTAATGTGTTTTTACCACAATTTTAAAAAAGCAGAATGATCACTTGGAAGCATAGCCTAGAAATGTTACAGGGAGAGCAGAGATGGAGAACTGCAGCAGTCTAGATAGAGGAGTAGCCGCCAGAGGATGGACACCTATCCTTCGATACTGGGCAAAAGCATGAGCATGAATTCAAGTGCAACCACTATTTGCTGCCATATCATCCTCAGTCAATCAATTAACAATAATTTAGTGTTTAACACACAGCGGATGATAAATATTGGTTGGATGAATGAACGAACTGATGAATGAATGAACACACAGCATTTTTATTAGGGGCCTACCATGGGTCCAGCACTGGTATAGACCACCACTTCTGCTCCTGGTTTGGCAGCAGAGAAAAAGGAAAAAGTCGTGCTGAAGGAAAGGGGGTCCCCCAGCTAGCATAAAAGTGATATAGGATGTTACATCCCCCATGGCAATACTTACAATAGCTGTGAAGTTAAAAGCAAAAATAGGTCTTCCTCAACGCTGCTCCTTTCAAGGTAACTATTGCTAGGCCAAATGAGTTTCAGTTGTAGAACAAAGACAGGGTTTTGTGGTAGATCAGGAAACCAGATTAAATTTACTCTTTGTTTAGGAGCAACTGTTTCACCCCCTGTCCCAAAAAGAGCCCTTTTATTTAACTTTTTATCATTACATCTCTGGGCCTCCTTGCTCCTTCCCCTTAAAATCCTGGGGTTTTCTACTTTCTTTCACACACTTACATCATTTTCTTTTCCTATTCTCTCTTTCTCTCTCTGCAGAGCATCATATATAATCTTGTTCTCACCCAGTCTTCTTGACAGGTCAAAGTTCTCATCCTGTCGACAAAAAAATGAGGATTAGGATCACATATTCAATCTGGGTCCAAGGTGGGAGATTATAGAGGATCTGGCCTTCCAAAGGGGTGGGGCTGGGATGGGGGAGAAGGCACCCGGGAGGAAGGTACTATGGATGGGGCACTGTGAAAAAGTGACTCAATAGGGGGGAGGGGGGGCAAGGGCAACATACGTAACCTAAACATCTGTACCCCCATAATATGCTGAAATAAAAAAAAAAAGTGACTCAGTAAAATGCCCGAAGGCACGAGCTGGCATTAAGATGCTGGTTTCTTCTGGTTTAGCTGGGAGTATAAGTGATCAAAGAGAGAAAAAGTCAGCTTGGAGAACACCTCAAGACTAACTTTTCAGAATTAGGGATCAAGGGAGCCTTGTTTAATCCCACCCAACCATGAAAACAATCATTTTTGTTTTAATAAACGCCTCAGTCAATGAAGCCTGAAGCACTTAGGTTTAGGTGGATGTGATTCCCTCCCACAGGGTGAGGACAGGCATGTGGACTCAAGTTACACTGAGCGAGAAGGAACGCTGGAAGGCATTTGTCCAAGACCACAAGGAACCCAGACTGGGGTCTTGAGCTTCCCCATGTGATGGGCTGACCTAACTAGCTTCAAGCTTCAGTGTTTCCCCTCTCCTACCTGTGTACATACGCATGCGCACACCTCACAAACACACTTAAGCTAATTCTACTAGTTGTGGTTTTTGTTTCATGATTTTTTATTCGAATGCTGGTGCCCAAACTGCTGTGTGCTTCTAGCCGACCCTGAGGTAGTAATGCGAGAGGGGCTACCCGATGACAGTGCTCACTGCAGACGCCTTGCTCCCCATCCCCATTGGCTCCTGCGGGCTCTTCTGGTCCTGCTTCACTTCCTCAAAAGGCAGAAATAAGAAAGGGCTATCTGAGTCTGCACAGAACCTGCTCCATGGTTACAAAAACCTTCCCTGACACCCATGGCTGAGCTGAGGCCTGTATTTCCAGGGACTCCCATGCTATTAATGGTTTCTGGCTTCGTACTACATACCTCCTGTTAGCGGAAAGATAAATTTCTCTCCCTAACAAGGGTATACAGTCTTCTGGGCTTTTTCTAAGAACCACAGACCTTCACACCCCTTGTTCTCCTGGGCCCCTTATCTCTGGCACCTACCATTGCAGCAGCCCTGAGTTGCCTGATCTCTTTGTGAAGTCGGTGACACTGTTTGTACTTCTCTAAGAAACAGGCTTTCCCGGCCTCTACCTTTGCCTTTAGGCGTTCCACCTCTTGCACTAACTGCTCCTCCACTGCTGTTTTCTGGTTCTTAGGCTCCTGAAGCATAAGATATATAGTCCCCATAGTTAGAGGCCTTTGGGATGCATGAGGAATGAAGAATTGCTATCAGCCAGGTGGGGACCCCTAGCTCTTGCAAAATATTCTATGGAAACCAAGGAAATCCATACCTGTCACCGGGAGGTTCAAACCTTGGAATGACTACAGATTATTTAAAAATGGTAATGTCTTTGCTATATCAGATGTCACAAACTTGAATGTGCCTACAGGTGCCAGGCAAGTAATGTAATCGAATGAAGGAGATGAATGTGAGGAAGCGGTGAAGACTGCAGCTAAATGGAGGACACAGGACCCATCTGACGGGCACAGCAGCGACCCAGCACCAGATACTGCTGCTGTGAAGGAATGTGGGCTCAACGTTGCCAGACCTTCTAATTTTTCAAAAGAAGCTGGAAATACAAAATTTTTATGGCAAATATTTCCATTGTAAAATGTTGGTAACTAATTTCTAAAAAAACATCATTGAGGCCAAATAAAATATTTCTGTGGGCTGACCTCGATCTGTGAGCTGCCGATTTTCAAACTTTGTTCTACTCTTTACTGTATCACGCTAAAGCATACGGTATCTTATATATAGTAGGTACTCAATAATTGACTGAATAACAATTGGTTGGATGATGCATATATGATGTGAGTTACAATCCCAACAGCTGGGTATCCCACAGACAGCAGGATTTCTCATGCCTTGAGACCAACTCAGAAAATGGGGCTTCCAGGTACCTTTTAGCACCGCGAGGCCTCTTTTCTAACAATATATTATAGGAAATTATTAGTCAAGTAGGCTTTCATTACTGTATTACTGAACTCAGAATAATTTATAATAATGATAATTGCTAATACATTAATTATAATAGAATTTGCTTTGAGTGGTGTATTTTCCTGTTGTAGAGCTCTTTATAACCATTCATTTGCTGCCCCTACAGTAACTCTATAAGGGGGAGTAGGGGCTATTCTGTGCGATTTCCAGTCCAAGGATTGTTTACTACAACCTGTTAAGAAGTTTAACACTCAAATATTCCTTTATCACTCATCACACATTAGAAATGCCCACCTCTCCTAAATGTTTTGTATGTGGTAGATTCTCTGTCCTTTTGGGGAGAAAGCAAAATACGCAGAGGTGAAAGCTATTCCAGTCTGCCCTACTTATCCTCTCCATCACTGAAAATAGACCTTTATCCCCTCCTGTCTTTAGGCTCCCTCCCGCATAGCCATCCAAAGACAGACATGCCGTTAACTTCTGTTGCTTCTTCGCCGCGGCAGTTTCTTTCTGCTTCATCTCCTCCACTGTCTGCTCCAGCTTCTTCTGGTGCTCCCTCTGCACAAAAACAGATGTCAGTATCAACGCTGGGAAAACACACACATGCACACATGCACCAGGGAGCTGATGAGCAAGCAGGATGCAGGGGGAGAAGCAAGTCTTCTCTTGTTAGTTTCTGAGTAAAGCCATGAGATACCTCCTTTCAGATGGCTTTCTCTGAGGCCTTTCTCAAAGCCAGCGATATGCAAGTGTACAGAAAGAAATCATGTACGTTTTCTTGCAAATGCCTAAAAATGTTATGTTCTCCCAGGACTCTACCTGTTCAGTCAAACTGAGAGAGAGCTGGCCATTTTCCTTTTTCAGATGCTCTAACTGCTCCGTCTTATCTTGAGCTCCCTGAACAAGCTTCTCCATTTCTTTCTCTTGAGTTGACAGCTGTGCCTAAAGCAAAAATGAGAATATAATCAAGATATAAAAGAAGGAAAACAAAACAGGATCAATGCTTTTTTTTTCATGTACAGTAACACAAAGAGATGTGTTTCCCTAGTAACTCCCAAATATCCCTTAAAACTCCTTTACTTTTCAGCTCTGCTTTATACCCTAAAATCTAAGACTCACCTGAGTCTTACATGAACCACTTTTCAAAGCCCCTAAGGTACAGCTTCCTAAGAATGAAAGTAGTTCTGCTATCTGCTTTATACTCTAGGCTTTTGAGTAAGATTTTTTGAAAAGATGAAGGTTTAATCATTGATATAGACTGTCATCTATCTTAAGAGCTCAGGATAAATATAAATTGAACAACTTATTAAGTTCTTTGTGGACCATGACTATTAAAAAATGGGAATGGAAAAATGGGAGGAAAAAAAAAAAGGAATGGGTTAGGGGATTACCTGGTCCAAGGATGGAAAACACATACCCCGAAACTCTAGTCTGATGCTGTGAAAGGTATGCCATTAGGCACTCACTACAATGAAATGCATCTTTCTGGGCCACCAAACTGAAGTGACTGCAAGGCTAAGAAAATACCCTTTGGCAAAGGTATAGCATCACCTACCTGAAGCTGATCCACTCTCATTCCCATCTTTTCGTTTTCTGAGGACACCTTCTGGTTTTGTTCTTTCAGTCTGTGGAGGTGGAGATGACTAAGTGAAACATTCACTGCTTCCAGGTCAGCTTCCTCTGGCTTTAAATGATTTCAGGCTGGCTTGGCTCTATGCCTGCAGAGTTATTTTAAAGTCCACTAGTCTCCACTGTAGTCCTGTTTTGGCTTCCTGACTCCAAACAATTGCAAGTGTTCAATGCCTAAAGTTAATACTTGAATTTAGATCATTTCTCCTGACTATTCTGATACCAATTCTCTAACCTAGAATTAAAGAGCTCATGATTCAAAGGGGGAGAATCATACCTATCATTGTTCTAACAGTGTTTTCTAATGAATTCCAGAAATCTAATCTGACTCTACGTAAGGGTGGCTATAATATAGCAGCTGCTCCCATCCGAGAATTACAGGACACACTCACTGAAGCAGCTCCGTCTCCCAATAGTCCTTCTGCTCTTTCACTTTCTGTTCCAACTTCTTATTGATGTTCTGGAGGGTTTCTAGCTCCTCCTGTAGGTTGAAACATCATCAAAGGGTCAGACCATTTCTAAGATACTTTTTGTTTATTGAGCACTTATTATATGTCAGGTATAGCATGACACAGCAGTGAATGAAATATCCAAGTAAAGAAATTTCTAAGCCGGGCGCGGTGGCTCACGCTTGTAATCCTAGCACTCTGGGAGGCTGAGGCGGGCGGATTGTTTGAGCTCAGGAGTTCGAGCCCAGCCTGAGCAAGAGCGAGACCCCGCCTCTACTAAAAATAGAAAGAAATTAATCGGAGGACTAAAAATATATAGAAAAAATAGCCGGGCATGGTGGCGCATGCTTGTAGTCCCAGCTACCCGGGAGGCTGAGGCAGAAAGGATTGCTTGAGCCCAGGAGTTTGAGGTTGCTGTGAGCGAGGCTGACACCACGGCACTCACTCTAGCCTGGGCAAAAGAGTGAGACTCTGTCTCAAAAAAAAAAAACAAAACAAAGAAATTTCCATACTAAAATGTTTTTAATATGTTCTTCCTATGTTAAAAATGCATCTTCCTTAATTTGTCTTCCACTGGAGCTTATATTTATCCATTAATTCATCAAACGTTTACTGAGTGCCCACTACACACCAGACACTGTTCTGGCACTGTAGACAGACATGCCAGTAGACCAAACAAAGTTGCTTTTCTCCTAGAACAGTGCTGTCCAATAAATTAATAAGTCACATATATAATTTAAAAATTTTAGGCCGGGTGCGGTGGCTCACGCCTGTAATCCTAGCACTCTGGGAGGCCGAGGCGGGTGAATTGTTTGAGCTCAGGAGTTCGAGACCAGCCTGAGCAAGAGCGAGACCCTGTCTCTACTAAAAATAGACAGAAATTAATCGGGCAACTAAAACTATGTAGAAAAAAATTGGCCGGGCATGGTGGTGCATGCCTATAGTCCCAGCTACTTGGGAGGCTGAGGCAGTAGGATTGCTTGAGCCCAGGAATTTGAGGTTGCTGTGAGCTAGGCCTGACGCCATGGCACTCTAGCCCAGGCAACAGAGACTCTGCCTCAAAAAAAATAAAAATAAAAGTAAAATAAAATAAAAATAAAAAAAATTTTGTAGGCACATTAAAAAAAGTAAAAAGAAACAGATAAATTAATTTTAATAATAGTATTTTTAACCCCAAATAGCTATAATTTCAACATGTAAACAAGTAAAAGGAAATTTTTTACATTTTTTCATATTAAATCTTGAAATCTAGTATATATTAATATTTTATGATTATATTATAGCACATTTAAATAAAGTCACATTTCAAGTGTTCATACTAGTCCTAGACATTTGTTTTTTCTTTCTCAATTTCATTCTACACTGAAGTCAACCTTGTACATCAATATCAACTCCCCGCTTTTAGCTCTAAGCTTCTCAAATTTCTTGTTTATAGACTTTAGAGAAAAATCGCTTCTTAGCTTAGTTTCTAGCATTATCAACTCTCATTCATCAACTGCTGATTTGAAGGATGATTCAAAAGAGGAGACATAGCAACCTTACTTTATCGTTTTTTTAGAGGCAGGGTCTTGCTTGTCACCCAGGCTGGAGTACAACGGCCTGATCAATGCAACCTCAAACTCCTGGGCTCAAGCAATCCTCCCACCTCAGCCTCCCTAGAAGCTGGGCATACAGGTGTGGGCCACCAAGCCTGGCTAATTTATTATTTTTTGTAGAGACAGGGTCTTGCTATGTTGCCAGGTTGGAGTGCAGTGGCTATTCATAGGTGCAATCCCACTACTGATCAGCACAGGAGTTTTTGACCTGCTTTTTTCTGACCTGGGCCAGTTCACCCCTCCTTAGGCAACCTGGTGATTCCCATACCATACCGATGCCAAACTTAGTACAGAAATCAACTGGCACAGCTCCCTGCAGCCCAGAACTTCTGGGATTAAGTGATCCCTCCTGCCTTAGCCTCCTGAGAAGCTGGAACTACAGGCCTGTGCTACCATGCCCAGCAATACAGCAATACTAACTTTTCTCTCTCAATGTCCACCTTCTAGCTAATCAAAGCAAATATTTCAAACTATAAACAGGCAATGGGAAGAAGTAGTCAGACTGCTTGGGTTTGAATCCAGACTCCATCGCTAATTACTTAAACCCTCTAAGCCTCAGATTATAAAACTGGAATAATAATAGCCCCTATCTCAAAGGTTTGCCATGAGGTTTAAATAAAATAATCCATATAAAACTGTTAGCACCATGCCTGTTCAAAAATATTGGTATAAGGGAGTGAGATCATAAGGAAAACAGAAAATGGTGCTGGATGAGAGGTACCATCCAATTCTGATTTCCATGCTCCAAGTTCACCTTTAACCAGCAGCCATACCTGCTTCCTCTGGAGCTCAGCCTGCATGTCTGAGTTCTGCTTCTGGAGGCTGACACAACTGTCCTTCAGCTCCTGGTTTTCTTTGCAAAGCTCCTTGTTTTGCTGCTCAATCTCTTCCACCTCTCCCTACAAAAGAACATTCCATAAACTATATTTAAGTCCCTCTAGCAGCAAATACCAAAAGGCTAGGACGGTGAGGGTCTGACTGAGTCCCACTCACTGAAGTGACATCTGTCTACCCCAATGGGAGCATCTCCTCAGTACGTAGGTAAGGGTGTGAGAGAGGTATGTCTGTATAATCGCAGCATTAAGCCGGCCATTACCAAGAAAGATAAGCAAAAATTAAGGCCATAAAAAGTTAAAAGGGGATAGAAGAGCACAGATTCTTTCTGCAGACACTTAGTATTATTTGTCTCTCCCAACGGATTTAGCTGCTTGAGGCCGGGACAGTGTTTGGATTGATTCTTCCTCACATCCCAGCACCTATCATAGTGCTAGATGAAAAGTAGGTGTCATGTTAAAACACTGAGAAAGTAAATGGATCTAATACTCATGCATGCTGGGTCAGGACTGAAAGAGATAAAAGAAGAATATTTGGTGCTTCTCTCCTTAAAGGAGCTTATATATATTCACTGTGTTGCCAAGATGTGCAGTGACAAAAATTAACCAGAAAAGTGCAAGGGCAAACTGAATGCCAATTGAGTTACAGAAGTTTTAGAGAAGGGAGAAATCATTTATTGTTGTGACTCTTGTTAATGTCCCTAAGTCATTCCTGAATGGCTGTGAGTGGTTACTGTATAAATTTTTCCCAACAATATCTGTTAAATATTCAATAAAGCCCTATTGACTCAAATTTCACTCTATCCTGGAATTGCTACTCTTAATGGCAGAAAGGGACTTAGGTGAGATGTTTACAGACCTGAGTGGTAACAACCAGGATGTCCTCCTCATTTTCTGGACGGAACTGGAAAGGGATACTTGCTCCCCGGACCACACCATCCTGATCCACATAGCAGAACTGGTAATACTCATCATCCTTGGGCAGGTAATAAGCTGAAAACACAACATGATTTTTAATCCAAAATTAAAAGTATTAAAATTAAAAGACTTCCAGAAAAGTAAAATTCTGGAAGTCTTTTTATCTGCCTCAGAAAGCTCAAGCTCACGGGAATTAGTCAGTCTTGGCTACTGTCTTCAACATCTTTGATCCGGTATTTTTCTCACCTTTGAACTGGACTTCCTGTTTGGCTGATATGTTGTTTAGGTCAATCGGCAAAGTAACCCACATGAAGGTGTAATACTCACGGGTTGTCTTCCACCCCACCTGCAATGACAAGAGGGTCTCATTTAGCACTTGAAAGGGCTCAGGGGAGGCGGGGGGAGAAAAGGAAAAAAAAAAAAAAGAAAGGGCTGAGGGGAAAATCCTTATTTGGGCTGTATCTTCTTAAAATGCATATACTTTTTATGTGTATGTGTTGATGATACAATAGAATGAGTTCATTATGACAAGATTTGCACACCACGGCTCAAAGCTTGTTTTCTGACTTATGACAACTATATATGGGAAAATATCTGACACAACTAAAAATTGGGGTGCACCTACACAGTTCGAAATACCAGTCTTGGAAGGAAATGAGAACTGGCTTCTCAACACCCAGGACAAGAACTCCAAAAATTGTATCTTCAAGTCAGACATAGAGATGAGAGTGATTGGGGGTAAATGGTCTGGGATTATGAGCACTGATCCTCTTCCACGGTGTTCTCAGAACTTCTATAATAAATCAGAAAGCTCTTCTGACCTACCTTTCCCATTGGTTTGTGTTCTACTGTGTCCAATTCGGCCTTGTCATATACCAACCTGGTTATACCACTGCATTTAAAATATGCATTCTTTTGAATAATCTGTGTGTTGGGGCAGAGGGACAAGAGGGTTCTTAGAATATGAGGCATCAGTTAAGAGAGTCCAGGTCTATATAGTTTTCTTTCTCTATTGTTTTTCTTAATGAAGGCTTTTTGGTGATAAAGATATTAACAACAATCTGGTAGTCGTAAAGGCCTCTTCTAGGTATTGAATGCAATAAATCATAAGATGTAAGGATACAGCAAAATATGCCTCAGAGCAGAAAGCTGGCTAAGTGGAAAATATCCTCACTAAATGTGAAGGGGGTAAAAGATTGCTCAAATCTTATGTGGAAGATAAAAGCACACCAGAGAATAGAAAGGAAGCCATTGTGTCTTCAAGGGGACAACACTCAGCAAATGAGAAACAAAATTACATTTATAGTCATATTTTGACCCTGCCTGAGCCCAGTGGGAAGAGGAAGAACTATAAATAAATTCCGGTTTTATATATTAAGGAATCAGAACAGGGTTGAAAAGGCTACACCAAAAGCTCATCAGAACATACTAGGGCATGTTTTAGAGTCTCATTAATACACACCCCATTGCTGTAAGCATCTCTGAGCCCCTGCAGCCTGCGGTGGTACAGGAAGCAGGAATTTTATGGAGTCCTCATTCACATCCTGGAGTTTCTTAATGCGCTGTGACTGGGAAGGCCTAAAAATTACTGCTGTCTTGGAACAAGGAAACAACTTCCAGCCACCTGCAATCTCTGTCCTTGGCCGTTCCACTTGAGTAGTCCTGGGCCCAGGCTGCCATGGAAAGATTTTAAATGCCCAGGACAAGAGTATGGAGCACAGGATTATACGCTGAAGGAAGGAAAGCTGACTCCTGCCTGCTTTAGGCTCCATCACTGCCGGTAGCTTTCACTATACCGAGAAGATGTAACATATTGCACGTATTAAAAAACATTTACTGAGTGCCTACTTGGCACCAGGAATTACCAGTATTAGGGGAGACGAGGAGTTGAAGAATGGTCTGATTAAGGCTACACTGAAAGAACACTGGGGAGAGCTTTAAAAGTGAGAGATGAAGGATAAAACTTTACAGTCAACTCTTCATTCTCTAATTTACCATCTGTTGTTCAAATGAATTCAGCAGAGCAGAGGAGAAAAAGCAGAGGTGTGGGAGTCAAACTTGCTGCACCACTTACTCACTGTGAGACCCTGGGAAAGTCACCATCTCTCAGAGATAATCATTTTACCCACCTGTGCACAAGAGACAATACTACCCACTTCGGGGGGCTACTGTGCTGTGACAATTAAATTAGAAAACACATACACACACATACTCACACATAAACAACCTCTTCAAAGGCCCAGCAGAGAGTATGTCCTCAGTGTAGATGTTCAAGTCAATAGCTTTACGGACAATGAACATTAGAGGCCTTTTTTTTTTTTTTTGGATTAACCATTATTTCCCTATTGGGGTTTGGCAATACCTCTGAAATGCATGAAGCATTCCAAATATAAATGTATCTTTTTTTTAATGCTTTTAAACATTTGTTTTTTAAAAGTATGAGATTTTCATTTGGTTTATGGTGAAGTCCTCACTAGTAGTTCCTAAGTGCTTGGGGAATATAACTGGTCTAAGCAAAACAGAAATATAACTGTTCCAAAAAAAAAAAAAAATTACAGGCTGGGCACGGTGGCTCACACCTGTAATCCTAGCATCCTGGGAGGCCGAAGCGGGAGGACTGCTTGAGACTAGAAGCTCTAGACCAGCCTGAGCAAGACTGAGACCCCATCTCTACTAAAAATAGAAAAAATTAGCCAGGCATGGTGGCACATGCCTGTAGTCCCAGCTACTGGGGAGGCTGAGGCAGGAGGATTGCTTGAGCCCAGGAGTTTTGAGGTTGCTGTGAGCTAGGCTGATGCCACAGCACTCTAGCCCAGGCAACAGAGCAAGATTCTTCTCAAAAAAAAAAAAAAAAGTTACAGACTACATTTCAAAGCCTAGTAATTTTTGAATCATTCTCTTTTTTATTATCTATACCTGTACTGTCCAATATGATGCCATTAGCCACATGAGACAATTTAAATTAATTAAAATTAAATAAAATTTAAAATCCAGTTACTCAGTCACACTAGCTACATTTCAAGTGCTTAAGAGCCACATGTGGCTAGTGGTTTCTGTACTGGACAGCAAAAGTACAGCTCCATTGCAGAAAATTCTACTGGGCAACACTGATCTACATGCTTTGCTATATATGGGGAAGAAGAAAAACAACAACTACCATCAACTTTCCAAGACAGAAAACACTCTGAGTGTGTCAGCTTTCTGTGTTAGAACACCCTTTAGTCTGATGATTCGATATCCTGCAGTCTCGGGAGCCGTCATGACACCTAACAGTGTCCTATGGGTTGTCTACTATCCCTACTCCACATGCCAGTCTTCTTACTTCCAGCTTCCATTCCTCCATCAATAAGCTTGATATTCCAAACAATTAAAGAAAAGGTATTCAACAAGGGATGTAAATGAGCCACAGCTCCTTCGCAATGCAGTCAAGAATGGTGTCTGGTTTCAGGATGAACAGCATTGGCAAACAGGCACATGACATACTGAGATGTCAAACCAAAGGTCACTGACGTTGGGACTCAGCAGTGTAAATTACTTCACTTTGACCTTTACTTCCTGTTTCTGGAAATAAACATTTGTCATTATGGTGCGTGTTGAGATGTGTAAGAGGGAGAGACATGGATGGGGGGGAGAAGGGGACACAGAGAGTAAGTTAATTAAAATTTTTAAATATCATTTCTATACTTGAACTGACAGGGTTATTAGACACTGGAAGAGGTCACTGAAGGAGCTCATCATAAACTTTCTATCCTTGGAAATCTTTACAAAGCCGTGAGACACATTTATTCAGGAATAAACTTTTTGGATGCAGGATGTCAGACTAGGTAACTTCTCAACATTCTTTCCAGATTTATGATATTTGTATTAAAGCAAACTAAATACTGTGCAAGTAAGGAATGTTTAACGTCACAGAAATTACATAAGGGGTCACTCATCTCAGTCAAGTCACACATAAATATTTCAAAATAGGATCATTTTAAAAGCATTTCTATTTGGCTTTCAAAAGCATAATACAACTTGGGGATTGTATCATTTGCCGTCTTATTTTACTAGGGACTGAAATTAAAACTTGAGTCCCACAGCACACATTGGTGTGTTAAGAGCGAAGGTCTAGGGAGTCTAGTTTAGGATTTTAAGATTGGCCACACATAATATACAAAATGCTGATAACACACACAGAGGGTCACACACCCAGGTAACTGAGATTCACCTCTAGCTCCTGATCACTTGGTAATAAATGAACCACTTACCCTGAAGATGCCAATCCAGTCCTTCCGACGGGGGATGAAATGCTGGGTGAGGGTGTAATAGCATGTGATGTCCCCTCCAGGGACGTAGAACTTTTCCACATTGTTAAAGATGACCTGAGAGAAATGACAATGATCCAGCAAGACAGCTGATGTGGGGGGATCTTCTAGTGTCTGTTCCATGGTGGGGGTCCTGTTATGAAAAATGGAAGAGAGTAAAGCTCAACAAGGGTAGTCTGAAATGTTGGAGATTTCTGGGCTCTCGTCCAGGGAACATTCCGTTCAAAGCCAACTCATGAAAAGCAAAATCCTGACAAGTATTGAGATCACACAACTTGCTTTCTGTTTCACTTTGAGCCATTTCGCATTCATAACTTCCTACACTATTAGAATTTTCTGAGACTATCTTTGACCTCTTCACCACAGGCACCACTACTCTAACATACCCTCACTCTCTACTTGTAACTAGTTTGTCCCCCTTTCTCTAAATGCCTTAAATAAACAAGGCAGCCAAGAGAAAATAGCTGGGAATTATAAGACTTAATTCTAGATTTTTCATCCCAACAAGCCCTATCAGGAAAGTCAATTTCTCTGGAGTTCAGCTTCTTCATTCAATTCCATTTATCTGTAATTACCGGGCCCTTGCATAAGTAAACACTCTGCTGGGAGCTGGGGATGGGAGGGGGAAGAAAGACATGAGAGAAGATTATTTGACATGCAGTGGTGACAAGCATGGGCTCTCCAGCTTCACCACGTACTAAATTCGTGACGGGCAATTTACTTAATCGACTGGGCTCTGTGCTTTTTTCCTCATCTGTAAAATAGGGCTAATAATAACCCCATTCTTTTTTTTTTGTGAGGCTTAAGTGAAATAACGTAAAGTGTCCAGTCCTTAAATCAGTGCCTGCCATATAGTAGGCACTCCAGTACTTAGCAAGAGTCTGCACAAAGAAAGGGTTTAACAGGTGTTAGTGATTGTTACTGGTATAGTCTCCGCCCTAAAACAGATCCCAATCTAATATGGAGGATAGATGAGTATACAAGTGACTGCCAAATGAATGGAATAAGAAAGTGCAAAATGCTCTGGGGGTTCAAAAGAAGGAGAAATGAAACTGGTTAGAAAAATTTTAAAAAAGCTTCAGGGAATGAGTAGACTCTTAGATTAGTCCTCAAAGAAGATTAGGATTTTGACAAGCGGGTTTGTGAGTGAGGGCATTCCAGGTGAAGGAAACAGCATGGGTCACAGCAAAGAACCAGAAAAATGCAGCATGATTGGAAGTCAGTGAGAAAGTTTGGATCCCTGTCTATAAAATGGGGATAATAACCGGTGTTTCACCTTTCTAGATCACAGTACAGATAAAATGTGATCAAGAATGGGAAACTAGGCACCTGTAGTCCCAGGTACTTGGGAGGCTGAGGTGGGAGATAGCTTGAACCCAGGAGTTCAAGTCCAACCTGGGCAACATAGTGAGACCTCGTCTCTTAAAAAAAAAAAAGGAAACAATTTGGGGGTAAAAACAATACATAAAAGAAACAAAATGTTTTGAATTATTGACACCTGATACTTCCTGCCCCTCAAACAAATCACATGTACTGTCTTCGAAATGCCTGGCAGGTCTAATATTTAGTGAGTCCATGATTCTCAACACAGAGTTTTACTAGGTGTTTAGAAAAACTCAACCATATTTTCTTCCGCTCTGACACCACAACCACCACCAGCACAAAAGACTTCTGTGACCAAAGGAGGGTGGGGACAAACTGGGCGTCCTCCTGTTCAATCCTAACACTGCCTACCCAGAGGTAGCATCAGATCCCACAGGTTGAGGACTCAGTCCCTAATACTGCTCCTCCGCTCACACATACCAGTTGCAAGTCTGTTCCTCCAGAACTTCTGACTGACCTTCTTTGGGTTCAATCAATTTGCTGGTGGGGCTCACAGCACTAAGGGAAACCCTTACATTTACCAGCTTATCATAAAGGATATTACAAAGGATATAGGTGAAGAGATATGTGAGGTGAGGGACAGGGGAAGGAGCATAGGCTTCCACGCCCTCTCCCAGGTGCACCACCCTCCAGGAACCTCCACGTGTTCAGCTAGCCGGAAGCTCTCTCAATGTTGTCCTTTAGGGACTTTTATGGAGACTTCATTACTTCCAACTCCCCAGAAGTCAGTTTTTTCACAAAGAAGACAATGGGACTTTGGGGCACTGAACTGTCTATTCTTGGGATTGAGCTGAGGAACTAAGAAATGCATTACTTTCTTGTTAGTGACACAGTTTAGCCACATCCTCAACCTCAAACCTCAAACCAGTTTTCGATGATGGGGGAGGAGTCACGTTCCAGTCTAGGTCAAGACTCTTTCCCATCATAAACTGTGATGAGTGTTTCTCTTGGAGGCTATGGGAGGGTGGGGAGAGAGGCTTCTCAGCTTGCAGATCCTTTTTTCCCTAGTGGTCTCTAGTCATACTGAGGCCAGCACGTCCCCTCTGTTCTAAGCCTGGACCACCAATTTATCTGAGCTTGTAAAATGACTTAATTTGTCCTTTGACTATGGATCATGAAGAACATTCAGAAAAGAATGACTGTAACAGAGGGAATGGCCCGGGGGAAAAACAGCAAAGATGTTTTCTGTCTCTTTAAAACTCCCCCTACTCTTTTTGGGAGCTGAAGTCTGCAATCCCTGCCTTGGGCAGGTGGCCAGGAGAGGCAGGGGAATGTCTTTTGTTCATCTTGTTACAGGAGATAGCTCAGCTGAACTGTGGCTCTGGCCTCCCAGGTGGGCAGAGGTCACAGGCTTTGTCTTTGGCAGAGATTAGAATTGAGATTAGAATTGTTAATGACAATAGCCTAGAACTGAAGGCCCTCCCTGTAAAAGCTCTGTATTTCTGCTTAGGGACGGGAATTTGGATTTTGAGATGAGTATCTGCCATTTTTCCTCCTTTGCTGGCAAAGCAATAAACTTCTCTTTTCTTCTCCTCAAACGTCTTGTTCTCCTTCTTCTGATGTGGTCTCAAGGACAAGTGCTGAGCTTTTGGTAACATGACTTCAGGGTGTGCCCCTCAGTTAACCTAAGAATCTTACTCCCAGTCCTCTTCCTTCATAACACTGTCACCACTGTATACACAACACGATGCCCAAGGCCTAGTAATTCTGGATTAAGTATTTGTTGAATAAATGAGTGAACAAGATATGCACGTCATTCATCAAATTGTGAACAAGGAAGGGGTTCTGTGGTTAAGGTGACTCTGGAGCTAAGAGTTCTTTTTTTTTAAGCCCTGGTCTTAATTTGTTGTCTACCATTGGGGAAGCTACTGTTTCTCAGCTTTCTCTTTTCTAAAACAGTGTGAGGAGATGATAATCTCCAAGTGCTAAGTCAGTTCTTGGTATGGCTGGTTCAGCTGGCATGGCTGGTTCAAGTGGCATGGTGCCAAAAAACAAAAGGCACAGATTTGATTTCCTTAAGAACCCATCAAATTCACACTCCATTACCCATGTTCCACACAGTCAAACTCTAGCAAGCTGTTTTGCAAATGGATGCTACTCTGAAAGGCAAGACCAGCCAAGGGTATGGGTGGCTTAGTACAGCCTCTCTTTCCTTACTTGAAAAACAACCAATCTAAGTTAGCTCACGAGCAGAGCACTGCAGAAAGGACAGCACATATATACAAAATGACACGAAGGCGCTTGTGTTCTGAGGCTTGAATGTATAGTCAAAGGAAATTCCACATCTTTTCATTCATCTGAAAACCTAATCACCTGTCTGGAAAAGTCAACAGCCTTGGTTCCTTGCACATCAAAAACGCAAGAGAGTCCATGAAGTTTCCCATTTCAGAGATCTCATCACCTTCCTAGAAGGGACTCAAGAGGGCATCCAATGGCACTCTGGGTATTCAGAACTCAACCATTCTTGAAATAAAGGTTAAAATTCTCCTCTGCCAAAACTGGGGAAGGGGTTAAGGAGGTAGGTAGATTGGAGAACAACAGTGGCTTCCCTTCTTCTCCTTTTTACCAAGTTGAGGACACAAAGGGCCATGGGTAAACCTAGAGCATGACCACACCAACCTGAACTGGGTCAGTGAGAAGTATTCCATTCAACTTTTCCTGGAGGGAAGGCATCTGCTGAGTTTTAAGGCCAGTGATCCTTAAAGTCTTTCCTTCCTCTCAGAGATAAAATTCCCTGGGAGAAATGGGCTCCAACCATGGCTTGGGAATTCACCTTTCTGACAAACCAGTCCAGAAGTGAGCGTTTGTGGAAGGGGGAGGGAAAGAAGATATGGAAAGAAAACTGGAATGATTTAAGCATCAATGTCCCTCTCCTTTAACCACCCTTCCCATTATAGAAGCTGTCCACCATCCACATCTAATATGGCAGTAATTCATATAGGCAAGGAAGAGAGAAGAAATATAAGAGCAAAAGTTAAATTTAGAAGCTCAGAGAACTACTGAGTTATGAAAAATCAGTGGGATGAATTAAGTCCCCTAGAAATTATGAAATGGTATTCCACCTAATTCCTTACTCCTACCCCCAAATCAAAGACTGGCCACAGAAGGAGTGACCAGGGAAAACAAATAGCTATTTTAAAAAACGAAACGATCAAGCATGGGAAAATATCACACAGATTCCACAAGCTGTGAGAGGCACTTTACTTGGCATCTGACATAGTAACTACCCTTTTCCCAGTTTCCAAAAGATTAGAGTCCTCAGAGGAGCTGGCAATAAGAGGAATGTACTTTAGTTTTTTTGTTTTTTTTTTTTTTTGAGACAGAGTCTCACTATTTTGCGCAGGCTAGAGTGAGTGCCGTGGCGTCAGCCTAGCTCACAACAACCTCAAACTCCTGGGCTCAAGCAATCCTTCTGCCTCAGCCGAGTAGCTGGGACTACAGGCATTCACCACCATATCCGGTTAATTTTTTCTATATATTTTTAGTTGTTCAGATAATTTCTTTCTATTTTTTAGTAGAGACGGGGTCTCGCTCTTGCTCAGGCTGGTTTCAAACTCCTGAGCTCAAACAATCCGCCCGCCTCGGCCTCCCAGAGTGCTGGGATTACAGGCATGAGCCACCACGCCCAGCCTTTTTTTTTGAGACAAAGTCTTGCTCTGTTGTCTGGGCTAGAGTGCCATCGTGTCAGCCTAGCTCACAGCAACCTCTAACTCCTGGGCGCTCAAGCAATCCTTCTGCCTCAGCCTCCTGAGTAGCTGGGACTACAGGTATGTGTCACCATGCCCGGCTAATTTTTTCTATATATTTTTAGTTGTCCAGCTAATTTCTTTCTATTTTAGTAGAGACAGGGGTCTCATTCTTGCTCAGGCTGGTCTTGAACTCCTGACCTTGAGTGATCCTTCCGCCTCGGCCTCCCAGAGTGCGAGGATTACAGGCGTGAGCCACCATGCCCAGCCAAGAGGCATGTATTTTAAAATGAGTCCCCTGAATTGGCTTCTAAGAAAACCTGACACATTTTCATCTAATGAGCTTTTCAAACCTAATATACTACTCCCAGGACTATTTCCACAAGGGTATAGATCCTTTTATGTCTTCCCAAAGAAAAGGAACAGTCAGTTCTACTCTGCTCTTTCTGAGCAAATCTGTAAACTACACTTACATGCTTTTTAGCAGAAAAATTTTAAAATGCCCAACATTTTTACATTAGCCTTTTATACCAGTGGACACGTTTCAAGAGAAATGAAGATTATAAGTTAACTTCTCTGGATTAGTTCACAGAATGAAATGAAATGCTTCCACAGCGAGAGAGAAATGCAAATCAATGCCTCATTTGGGAGCAGTACAAAGATAAGTCAAACCCATACTTAATCGAATTCCTTCGTCCTTCTGTACTTTACTTTGTAAACTATTAGCAATTAGCAAAATGGATTAACTGATTTGAATCCCATTCCTCCCCAGCCCTGGCAGAGATGCTTACACATAACTACCCTTAGAGAACACTGGCAGGGGATACTACGGCTGTGTAGATGGCCCTGAGACAGGTAGCAAAAGCAAAGACACAATCACTGGTCCTAAAATTATTGAGCCACTCGCTCTAGTCCAAAATTTTCAAGTTCATTCTAGTTCCCTACCTAAAACGTTTCAGAGTGCCTTATAAAAATTTTATGCCCCCAGGAGGCTGTGAACACTCTATGTTAACAACTGTTTGAATTGGCTGTCCAGTTTGTCATAAGGCCCTCACCCCACATACGACACCACGGTACCAGCACCAGTTCTAGGGGAGAACAGAAAAGTAGTTCTGGGACATGAGAGGCAAGCAGTTGAAAGAAACTGTGAAAAGCTGAAAGCTATGTATGAAATCTCCATTTTACTGAGACTATCCACTTTTTCCTTGAAAGGGGTGACTCCACTATGCCATGTCTCTGTGACATGGGCAGTGACAGTGTTTGAAGTGTGGTGGAAAGGGGACTAGGCTAGGGGCCAAGGGACTTGGGTTCCTGTCTTAGTTCTGCCACCAATTATCTCTGAGACCGAAGCCAAGTCACACTATCTCCTTTTGGCCTCTGTTTTCTCATCAGTAAAACGTGTGGATCAGGCTAGAAAATCTCTAAGGACCTTTCTAGCTATAATGATGATCCTAAGTAAAAGAAAAAGGAAGTGAAAGAGTTCATTTTAACTGTCTCTCTTTTCATCTAAGAAAATAAGGATGCAAGATAGTCTACCAATAAGTACAGTCACATTTTTAAAGGCGCCCCAGACATACTATCTGACTCAAAAGACAATATGACTTGTTAGTGCCAGGTAACTCAGGACTACTGACCACCCTTTTCAAGGTCTTTTCTACTCCACAGCTGTCACGTCTGCTAAAGGATAGAGTTTCAAGGCCCCCTGAAAATACCAGGGAAAATGAGCCATCTGGATATTCCTCAATCATGTGTTCTACGTAAGCTGCAGAGACCTACTGCAAAAAGTCCTTTGATTTAAATAGTTGTTGAGATAGTGGAGAAAAGTTATAAAAATCATCTATATTATTCTATTCAGCCCCAATCATGGCCACTTGTTGGCTTGCATCTGAAGCAAAGAATCCAAGTGACAGAAAAAAGTTAACATGCCCGGTGGGGTTGAAATCATATGTGCGTGGGAACATTAGCTCCCAACCTAAATTGGGCTAATGGTGGTGGTGGAGGGGCAACGGGAGATCAGCTGTAAAGAAGCAGGGCACTACACCTCCCTTTCTTCCAGGCTGTCTAGAACATTTCCTCCTGCAATTGCAGAATGCAAACGGGAAAGTGTTTCAGGGGTCAAACCTACTCGTGGAGGGGGAAACTGAGGCCCAAAGAGAAAGTAACTTGCCCAGGACGAGTAACTTGCCCCGCCTCTGCCTGGAACCGTGGGCGATGACGTCAAGGCGAGGGATTACGGAACCCACGACCTCGGCCCCGGGGGACTGCCGCGTCAAGACCCTCGCGTCAGAGGTGTTCCAAGGAACCTCCCATCCGGCCAGTCCCTGCAGCCCTGCCCTCCTCAGAGAAAACTGCCCCTTAACCCTCCAAGGCCGCGGAAGGGCCTCCAGGGCCTCCAGGACGCCTCTCCCACTTACTATCACCCTAGAGGGTGGATTGTGGTGAAACCCGAAACCGGCCGCCCCTCTACCCACCCTTGGACCTTTCTCAGGACTAGAAGTCAGAGTTTGGGCAACCCGAGGGCCGAAGTGCCCCCTTCCACTGCAGGGACTCACCAGGGGGTAACAGCCAGCAGCAGCGCAACAGCAACAGGGCTGGGAACGGGATAGGGGCGGGGCTAAAAGCCCAAGGGAGAGTCATTCCCGCCTGGTCCCGCCCATAACGTCACAGCGGGCAGCAAGCCCCGCCCCCGCCGCGGCGCTTGCTGGGACTTGTAGTGTTCAGTGACTGGGCCCCAGAGGTGGTCAGCGCTCTTTATAGCATTTCCCAGTCCAATGCAGAGATCTCACCCCAATGAACCTATTTCATCCTCTAGAAGCAACTATCTACTTATTTTTTTCTCTTTTTAACTTCTATTTCTTTCAGTCCTGAATGAGAAATCTTCATATCCTTGAAGGGCCATTGAGTGGTTACTTCATTTTTCACCTACCTCCACATAATACTTTACTAAGACTGGTATAGATGAGACTGTCTTTGGCATTTAATCATGCCTCCCACCTTTCCCGGAGACCCCAGCAATCACCTTGGGTCCCCTAGTTTGTGTGTTTTATGGTTTCCTTTCTGTAAAGAAATCATTTTTTAGAGTTAATTCTATCAAGGTAGTACTCTTTTCTTTTTTTTTTTTTACTGAAGTTAAGAATAAACATAGCAAGAATCCTGCAAGGTCAGTTTAGATAGAATCCCTCATCCTTGATATCTGACCAATTTGGCCTGTCTTCAACAAGAATCCTGTTAAGATGGTTTAATAAGAATCCCCTACCCTGATGTCTCCTGTTAGCAGTTTTCCATTCACTGACCCATCACTCTGCTTGTTGGCTATGAATCCTTTCTTGTCCTTATTGTATTCAGAGTTGATCATAATCTTCTCCCCTTTGGTCTTGAATAAAGTCTTCCTTAGCATTTTAACAAGTGTCAGAATAATTTTTTCTTTAACATCCAGAAGATGCCAGTTAAACACAGCACGTGCTTTCTATGAAAGGTTAAATTCAGAAGTGCCCTTTCTCCAAGAAGGAACTGTCTAAATCTGGAAAGAAACTTCTGTGCCATCTAACCAGAGTATTTATGCCCCTGAAGCAGTTTTAGGTTTCAGGCCAGGGAATGAACAATCCTAATTCTGCCTCCCCCCAAAACTGGTGGCAGTCAACTGAGATAAATGGAAGGTGGGAAATGAAGAGTAAACCAGGGAGTGGACATGAATCTAAAGTTCAAATCACCTTCTGAATCACCAAAATAATATTCTTCCATTTTAAATTCTGTCTACAGGGACAAGTGACCTCAGTATCCTGGATACATTTCCCTTAATTTTACTTATTAGCTTTTCTAAAAGCACTGAGAACCAAAATCACTTATACCAACACAGCTTATTTTCTACATTAACACAACTATTCCAGTAAGTTAAAAATGCAAATAAATCCATTGTTCATTCTAGAAAGTTCCTAAAAGAACCATCAATAGAAAGCATCAAATGACAGTTTTGTATGTGTCAAGACTCTTAGAACCCCTGGTCTTTGTAGTGCCACCAAAGAGTTCAAATTATACTACAAGACTACAGTAACCAAAACAGCATGGTACTGGCATAAAAACAGATATATAGACCAATGGAACAGAATAGAGAACCCATAAATAAATCCACATATTTACAATCAACTCATTTTTGACAAAGGTACCAAGAACCACACACTGGGGAGAGGATAGTCTCTTCAATAAATGGTGCTGAGAAAACTGGATCTTCATATGCAGAAGAATGAAACTAGATCCCTATCTCTTGCTATATATAAAAATGAAATCAAAATGGATTAAAGACTTAAATATAAGACCTGAAACTACTAGAAGAAAACATTGAGGAAATATTTCAGGATATTGGTCTAGGCAAAGATTTCTTTTTTTTTTTTTGAGACAGAGTCTCACTCTGTTGCCTGGGCTAGAGTGCCGTGGCGTCATCCTAGCTCACAGCAACCTCAAACTCCTGGGCTCAAGCGATCCTCTTGCCTCAGCCTCCTGAGTAGCTGGGACTACAGGCATGCGCCACCATGCCTGGCTAATTTTTTTCTATATATTTTTAGTTGTCCAATTAATTTATTTCTAATTTTAGTAGAGACGGGGTCTTGCTCTTGCTCAGGCTGGTTTTGAACTCCTGAGCTCAAACAATCCGCCCGCGCTGGCCTCCCAGAGAGCTAGGATTACAGGCATGAGCCACCGCGCCCGGCCTTAGGCAAAGATTTCTTGAGTAAGACCTCAAAAGCACACGCAACCAAAGCAAAAATGGACAGATGGGATCACATCAAGCTAAAAAGCTTCTACACAGCAAAGGAAACAATAAACAGCATGAAAAGACAACTTACAGAATGGGAGAAAATATTTGCAAACACTCATCTGACAAGGTTTAATAGCTAGACTGTATAAGGAGCTCAAACATCTCAATAGGAAAAAAAAGAATTTAATTTAAGATAGGTAAATGATCTGAATAGACATTTCTCAAAAGAAGACATACAAATGGCCAACAGGTATGTGAAAAATATGCTAAACATCACTAATCATCAGGGAAATGCAAATCAAAATTACAATGCAATATCATCCCACCTCAGTTAAAATGGCTTATATCAAAAAGATAGGCAATGACAGATGCTGGCTAGGACGTGGAGAAAGGGGAACCCTTGCACACTGTGGGCCTGTAAATTAGTACAGCCATTATGGAGAACAGTATAGAGTTTCCTCAAAAAAACTAAAAATAGAACTACCATATATATGATCCAGCAGTCCCACTGCTGGGTACATAAGCAAAAGAAAGGAAATCAGTGTATCAAAGAGATATCTGCACTCCCGCATTTATTGCAGCACTATTCGCAATAGCCAAGATATGGAATCAACCTGTGTCCATCGACAGATGAATGGAGAAAGAAAGTGTGGTATATATATGCAATGGAATATTATTCAGCCATAAAAAAGAACGAAATGCTGTCATTCACAACATGGATGGAACAGGAGGATGTTATGTTAAGTGAAATAAGCCAAACCCAGAAAGATAAAAATCATGTGTTGTCACTCATATGTAGGAAGTAAAAAAAATTTTTTTTTTGAACTGGACTGTACTCCCACTACTCAAGAGGCTGAGACCAGAGGATCACTTGAGTCTAGGAGCTCGAGACTAGCCTGGGCCATATAGTGAGACTCCATCTTAACTAAGAAAAAATTTGAGCAAGACCCTGTTTCTAAAAAAAAAAAGAAAGAAAGAAAGAAAAGAGAACCAAAACCAAAACCAAAACTAAAAAAAAAAAAGAAGGAAAAAGGCAACTTTGACCGCAGAGGCTCCTTTTGCTACATGTAATACGTGTTAATACATATGTACATATGTGTCTGTGTATCTCCTGTGGCCCCAAGCATAGTACTTTCCACATAGAAAGGGGTCAAGGCATGGGTCTGTTATTTCAACTGCAGACAGGGCGCTTTCTATGGAACTTGTCTCTAGGGCCATCCATACCAAGAAAAGGATGCCTTAAAATCAACCATCAGCTGGGTGCGGTGGGCTCATACCTGTAATCCCAGCACTTTGGGAGGCCAAAGCAGGAGGATTGCTTGAGCCCAGGAGTTCAAGAACAGCCTGGACAACATAGCAAGACCTTGTGTCTAAAAAAAATAGAAAAATTAGCCAGGCGTGGTGGTACATGTCTGTAGTCTCAACTACTTGGGATACTGAGGTGGGAGAATCACTTGAGCCCAGGAGTTCAAGCCTGCAGTAAGCTATAAGCTATGACAACACCTGTCAATAGCTACTGCACTCCAGCCTGGGAAACACAGTGAGATCGTGTCTCTAAAAACAAAACAATCAAAACAAAAAACCGAGAAACCTGGAAACTCTACTGCTCATGGTTGAGCAGCCCCATGTATGTCCAGGGGCTCTTTCAGCCCCATCACATACAGTTACACATCAAAATGGAGAGAAAGCAGGCCAGACGCGGTGGCTCACGCCTATAATCCTAGCACTCTGGGAGACCGAGGCGGAAGTTCAGGAGTTGCTTGAGTTCAGGAGTTCGAGACCAGCTTGAGCCAGAGTGAGACCCCCATCTCTAAAAAAACAAAAAGCAAAACAAAAAAACCAAAATGGAATGAAAGCAAAGAGGTACTTGGCAGCAATTTCTATTTCTAGCTCATTAATGTCAGCAGCAACAGTGCATGGAAGAAGGAGGAGTGGGCTCCATGAACCCACTGCAAGGCCTCAGGCAAGCCATCTCATTTTCCTGGGCCTCGATTTCCTCCTCTGAAAACAAGACAAATGCCGGGGGGATCTCTAAGAACTCTTCAAATTTAAAAAGAATTTTAATTCTGTGATTGTACACACTTCTACAACATTCTTTCATGCATTGCAGACTGAAAGCAAAATATAAAAAATAAAAAATCCGGGGTACACAAAATTCTACCTTCTAAGCACCCTTGCCTCATTGCCATCCCTTGTATGTATATCAAGACTTCGTTTTGACTGGCACAGGAAGAAAGGGCTTCCGGGAGGGACCTTGGTTCAGGCAGCAGAAGCAGGATCTCTCTTTGTTTCATTAACTACTTAAAGGAAGAAGCCCAAACTGAGAAAGAGTCTGTCAACTGCAGAGCAAACAGCCTTCTGAGGGTTTCATTGTTGTTTTAGTATTTATCTATTTAGTCAGGTGGGTGCCTTAGGAACAAAATGACAATGAAAACAACAGTGTTGGGCTTGGGTTTTTTTTTTTTTTTTTGAGGACACAGTCCATATATTTTGACAACTAGAAGGACCCTCCAACACTCCGCTGTGGCCTTGCATGCCCAGGCCCAGAAAGTCCCTCGGCGCTTGCCATGTGGATTTTCTTTTTTTCTTTCTTTTTTTTTTTATTGAGACAGAGTCTCACTCTGTTGCTCTGGCTAGAGTGAGTGCCGTGGCGTCAGCCTAGCTCACAGCAACCTCAAGCTCCTGGGCTCAAGCGATCCTCTTGCCTCAGCCTCCCGAGTAGCTGGGACTACAGGCATGCACAACCATGCCCGGCTAATTTTTTTCTTTTCTATATATTTTTAGCTGTCCAATTAATATCTTTCTATTTTTTTAGTAGAGACGGGGTCTCGCTCTTGCTCAGGCTGGTCTCGAACTCCTGAGCTCAAACGATCTGCCCACCTCGGCTTCCCAGAGTGGCAGGATTACAGGCGTGAGCCACCGCGCCCGGCCTTATGTGGATTTTCTGTTTCTAGTTTGCCTGGCACAGATCGCTGATATTCTCTGATTTCTAGCTGTCTCCCTGATCCTGCAGGGTATGCCTGATAGTGGAAGCTTGCTTTGCAGTACAGCGAGGGCAGCTCTACTGTTCACCCTGTGTTTGCTCCTGTCATTGCCCCGGAAAGGACAGTGGTACCAGGCTCTGGTCTATCTCCGGTTGCAGCCAACCCTCTCATAAATAACCAGTTGTCAGGGATTTTAATGGAAACCCTCTGAAAGCTGTAAATCTTTGCTGCTCTCTGCTGCATCCTCTCCCTCATTTCCATCACAATATCACTCCAGAGGGACCTGAGACTCGAAGTGTGAGCCTGGCAGAGCAGATTGGTAGGACGCTGGGGAAAGAAAGCCGTGGGATGGGGGAGGGGAATAGAGCTGGGACAGTTGGTCTTAGGGAAGCATCTGCTGGGTGGCCAGTTGATGGTGGTCACCTGGGTCCTTAGGGCTGGGGGGAGGGGGAAGGGCATAGCGTGGGGCCACCTGCAGAGATGAGGGAAGAGGGAAGAGGACTGACTGGATGGCAGTGAGGTTTCTGGAAGAGCAGCAGATGGGCTACTGGTTCCACCTTCTGCCCTCTGTTCACTCCAGGGTGAATGTAAGCATCACATGACAGCCTTCTAGTGTCCGTTTGGGGCTAAGCTATGCCTTTGGCTCTAGGGTCCTACCTGTACAAATTAGCAGGTGAAGGGGCAGTTTCCTATGTTGGGAGGAACTTAAATTACCAACTCAGGTTCCAATAAACAAAGTTTACTCATATGCATAAGGGAACTCAGTAGTGAGTAACACCCCAAACAATTAGGGATAAAGGTTTATATACCAGCTTTATTCTGGGTAGGGGGTGGGGAGTAGGTTAGGGTTTCAAAGGATGGAAGGTTCTTATGATGAGGCTTATTTATACAATTTTTATAAAAAGTCCCAGTGTGAAGGGCCAAGATTCCCTAACTAGAGACAACCCCACGGGGATAGAGGGTTCGTGGCAGCTGCTTTATTCAGATGAGGGAAGTTCAGATAAGATTTCTTTCTGCATCTGCTGTAGCTCAAATGTTTTCACTTTGAAGTAATCTTTATACTATCCTGGTGGGGGGGTTTTTAGTCCCTTTACCTGAAATTTCCCCAATACCCTATCACAGCACACATGAAGTCCTGGGCACACTCATGGGCACGATGTTCTCAATGAATCTGCTAGAATCCTCCCGGAAACTTCCCTGGATTAACTCCAACAGGCTCTGCATCAGAGCTATGGATCCCGTCTCTTCCATCAGTTTCCTGAGGAGGAACTGTTTCTCCTCTTTCTTATGTGCCTCCCCTCAAGCGCCGGGCAGAGGCTGTACCCTCAGTAGAAAGTAACAAATGATTCATTGTCTCAGTCCTTGGAACTAAACAATCCCTTTTCACAAGAGCAGCTACATTTCAGTTGCATCAAATCAAGCACTTGGAAGATTCTAACGAAAGAAGAGAGACATAAGCAACAAGAAGTCTTTAGCTCAATTCATAAGGGAAGTCTTCCAGAAACACTGTGGTTCAGGAACTTAAAATCGACTCTTTGATCTTTCACCAAATCCTGAGTTAACCCTGGCAGAAACAGCTCTACTGCCCGCCAGTTCTTTGCAGGCAGGAATCTAAGTGCGGACAGGTGGAAACGGAAGGAAGACTCCAATTATTTGAATCCAGTCACTGTTACAGGTCCTGCACCCTCACAGATTCCTCACCTGAGGACAGTCAAATGGTGGCTGCGAGAAGCCAAGACCCCTGGTCCCTTAAGTGCCACTGGCTCTTCAGGCCATCTGGACGGGTCCCTCTGATCGATCAGTTCAGTGTAGGCCATGATTCCTCACTCTCTGAAGGGGAGGTCACGATTCAATAAGCCTGAGCGGTTCATTACTACTTTGCACCAGCCATTTTACTATTAAAGCAGCTAAGCCTCAGAGAGGCAATGTGGACTGCCCAAGGTTACACAGGCAATCATATGCCCGAGATCCTGACTGGGGTCTCAATCCAAAGCTCTCCCAAGGCGCCTCCTGATTCTGGTTTTGGACATTTACCCTCCTCCAGAGTCTAAGTTAGGTGCCCCTCCCTCGCCGCAGCCCCGCGCAGCTGGAGCTTGGGAGCCAGATGTTCCGGCCGCGCCTGCGCACGGCGCCCCAACGGCGCGGTCCGGCTGGACCAGGACAGGGGCTCCGCTTGCCCGGCGCGGCGTGGGGCGGGCCGGGCCGGGCCGGGGACGCGCGGAGGGCGAGCGGTAGCCTGGCCCTCGCGTCCGGGAGCGCGGCCCGCGTGTCCTGCGCGTCTCCCGGGACAACCTCGGGCGCGTCCCTCGCCGAGCGCCGGGGCGGTTAATTGGATTCGGGAGGGAGGGGCATGGCTGCCACTGCAGGGGCCAATCGAAGGCCTAGAAGGCCCTATATGCAAATATGAGGGCCCGGCGGCCCGAAGTTAGGAGGAGCGCGGGTCGGGGTTGGGGTTGTCTGGCAGCCGATGGGAGCGTGTCTCCTTAGCCCTGCGAGGAGGGGGCCCGCAGGTGTGGTTGCCGGCGCTACGGGCAGCAGAGCAGGGGCCAGACGCGGGAGTAGGAACCGCGGGTAAGAGCGCCCCAAAGCCCAGTGCCGGCCCCAGACCGCAGCCTCCTGCTGCCTCGCCACTGAAAACCTAGCTCAACACGCCTCCTTACTCCACACGGCGCCCAGTTCCTCCGGGCCACCCCTCTGCCCTCCCTGGTGGCTTTCCACAGCGTCCGGCACTCACCCTCTCGGCCCCTCGGCTCTGGAGCTTGTCTCTTCTCAGCCCCTCTTGTTAACTCTCAGTCCCTGCCCTCCCCCGATTTCCTAAACCCGGTGCCACCAAGGAGCTGTCCCTTAGATACCAGCGATCCCTGGGACTCACAACTCTTCACCTCCTTCTTCCCCATCATTGGGTCCTTCTCACCACTTTTCCTCCTTTGTCTGGAAAACCTTCCAGATAGACGCTTCCCATTTTTTACGGTCGACACAGCCCTCTGCAGATGCCCCTACACTCTTCCCAGCCTCGTTTTTCTTCACGTCCAGTTGGTATTTCTCACTCCTCCTGAAACAACACTCTTCTAGGTTTGAGGAAAGTTCTCCTTTGGGATTTGAACCCTAGGAAAATGATCGCTTACATTTGAGCCTGAAGTGGGAAGGGAGCTAACGTTTATTAAGCACCGGTATGTACTAGGCACTCCAAAAAGATATTTGCACCAATCCTACCATTATATTTTCATTTTACAGTGTAGGTAGCCCTTACCGTAAACAAAGCACTGCTTTAAGAGCATTAGAAATATTAACCCATTTAATCTTTAAACAAGCTCATGAGATGAATATTATCATCCCCATTTTATTTACGAGGAAACTGAGGTACAAAGAGGCTAAGTTACCCACAGCCACCAATCTAGAAATTAGTAGAGCAGGGATTTGGATCCAGATCCATCCACCTTTGATAGTGATGCCCTGAGTATTTTGGGGAAAATGGCTGGATATGAGCCCAACTTGAAAACTGCACCCTCCAATCTTGCAGAATTCCCCAATTTCTAGCAGAATAACAGATGGCATCTGAGTCAGCGAGATCCTCATTTCTCCCACTAAATATGGCCTGTCATTGTCAGCACTTTTTATTGGCAAAGCCCTTGAGCAGTTGGGTGTCCCCACCCCTCCCTTGTTAGTCCATATTTTGCTAAGGACCATGCCAAACTCTGGGCTGAAATTTGAAGGGTGACTAGAATGAAAAGCCAAAAGAACACCCAAAGCATCCTGTTTTTTTCCTGCCTGAATCAAAGCTCAAAGCACTTTTCTAGATGTGAAGCTTTCATCTTCCTGGTGGTCCTGTAACCACAGAGGAGATAAGAGTGGGAGAGGAAATAATTGCTTGGCTTCTTATGGCATACTGGGTCAGAGGGACAGAGCTGAAAGTATGATCCAGAAATCTTACCTCCACATCTTTTATTTCCTCATCCACTTCGACATTTTCCAAGACCTAACCCCTGGAGGCCTTCAGAAGGATGCTTCCAGAAGGGAAATAAGGACCAAAAGATGAAAAGGGGGTGTGCAAAGGAAAACCTATTATCTGGAGAAAAAGAAGGATGTCACATGCAAACACAGTAGGAAAGCCCTTCAGTGCTGTACGTATTCCTATGGAGTGGAAGAAAAGTCCAGGCAGTGAAAGTCAGGGATGAAAAAGGCTACAACCCCTAATATGTTCCCCTTTGGTTCTTACCTTAATCATCAAATTATTCTTTCCTATCATTTATAGGACACCCATGTTCATTGTCTTGCAAAAGAAAGGACCAAACATTATCCACCCTCTGCAACACCTCCAGGGGAAAAAAGAATAGTCAACATGTACAGTCCTTTAGAAGTGGAAATGAGACATGGACCCTTCTCTGAGATTTTTCTAAATAACCGGCAACGTGTCTGCATGGAGCCGTCCCTGCGCTCATTCCCTCCCCCTGGTGGCCATTGTAGGGCATTTTCATGCTGTCTAATCAGGATTTGGTTGACAGCCTCTGGCTTGGAAGATCTCAAGATCAAACCCCATACTAAAATGGAAGGAAACCCCAGTGTTTTTTCACTGTCTTAACTATCCTTCTTGGAAAGATGAACTGCATGTTTCTTGTGTTCTTAAGAAAAACTGAAGATGCTATTGACTGCGTTTGTTGCGTTGGTAGTGCCACTCTTAGTTTTCTTTTTAAAATTCTCCAAAGCACTTAGGCCACTTTGCCTGCCCACTAACCTGGCATCAGGGAAAGATACTAGGGGGTCAGGAAGCCCAGATTTTGGTGGTGGCTCTGAGGATTTGCTCGCTGGCTATGTGCAAGTCCCCTTCCCTGGCCCAGACTAGTGGGGAGTTGGGGGGCGGATTTAAAATCTCCTCTAAAAAGTAAATGAGTTGAATTAGACATTCCAGATTCCTGCTAGTTCTAATATTCGGAAATTCCATACAAGCTTAGAAAATGTTCTAAATATACCCCTAATAAGAGCTCTGGTATAATGTAGACATTGGGGAAAAGAAGGGAAAGAAAGAGGGTAAAAATAAATACAAAGTAGGAACAATAGAGCAGTTCCCAAGTTATGACAAGTCTGAGGAGATCCAAGCCCCTTGTTGGAGATGGGAATTTAGAAGCAGTTTACTTTAATGAAAATGATGTGGGACCAACTGATTTTTTTTTTTTTTTTTTTTTTTTTGGTTTCCAGACAGGTCTGTCTCAATCATAGCTCATTGCAGCCTCAAACTCCCAAGCTCAAGTGATCCTCCCACTTCAGCCTCCTGAGTAGCTGGGACCACAGGTGCACACCACCACACCCAGCTGACTTTTAAATTTTTTGTAGAGACAGGGTCTCCATACATTGCCCAGACTGGTCTCAAACTCCTGGGCTCAAGTGATCCTCCCACCTCTGCCTCCCAAAATACTGGGATTACAGGCATGAGCCACTTACATCCAGTGGACAAACTGATTCTTAAGGGATTAAAGTCACCAAGACTCGTTCTGGGAGTTAGGAGATCAGTTACTTTATGTTCACACCATTTATGGGTGATCAGCAGAGAGGAAAGGGCAGTATGGTATATCATGAGCATGAGACATTGTGTATATAAATGCTTTAGTATTATATAATGCCTGTTACCTGGTAAGTCAGTTGTAAATAGTAGCTATTGTTATAAGTGATTGAAACCAAGCGTTTTAAGTGCCTGCTATATGAAAAGGATCCAAAGTTGACACTTTAACAATGTAAATAACAAATGTGATTTACTTAATGCTCTGAACAACACTTCTATTATATAACTAAGGAAAATGAACCTTGGAGAGGCTAAATTAGTTCGTGCACTTATTCATTTTTTCCAGTCCATTAATTCAAGAAGCATGCTGTGCGCCATGGGAGCCGTGCTAGGGAGCTGCAAATGCAAGATACGGCCTCTTCCATCAACAAGCTTGTAGTCCAGGGTCACACTGCTAATAATGATAGATGGCACTTTGTGAGCACCTACTATGTACCAGGCGTGGTTCTAAGAACTTTGTGTTGTATCAAGTCAAATGAATGAACTCATTTAATTTCCATAACTGGGACAAGCCACTTTACAGGTGAGGAAACTAAAGCAGGAGGAGGTTAAATAAACTGCCAGAGGTCAGACAACTAGGAAGTGGCAGAGCTGGGACTTCAATGCAGGCAGATAGACTCCGGAACCTGCATTCTTAGCCACTGCACTACAGCTGCCTCTTAGCAAGTGAATTAAAGTCACTTCCGCTGACTGCAGAGACCCTTACTCTGTGATGTACATGTGCCTCAGGATGCTGCCAGCAGCTCCCTTCACTCTTTTGTTTTCTCTTTGGCCTTGTCCTTTGAATCTTTTGCCTTTCCTCCTTTTATTCCTCAAGGCTACAAAACTGGCACCGACCAAATTGTTAAGCAGGACAGTAGGTGAGAACTCGCAGGCGAGCAGGAAGTGGTTGCTAAGACTGGGTAAGAGAAGTCAGGTAGAGCCAAATCAGGCCCCCATCTGAAAAGACCGAGGGGATCCCGGCTTCAGGTGGGTCAGATCTAATTCTTGTTCTGAATTTTGGGGATTAAAATGCTTTTCGTTTTGTCATGGGGGAAGCAGCTTTTGCTCTAACCTGAGACAGCTTAGAGGCCAGAGATACACTGAAGCAGAACTGGTCAATTCAGATGTCTACGGGGTCAGGTGTGTATCTTAAATGAGTTGGGTTGGGTTGGGTTTAAGAAAACGTCCCCTCTCTCTTAGTGCTACTATAAGAAAAATAACAGCACAAGGGAAACTGTCAGTTGGCTCCTGTGTCAGGGAGGCAAGAAGGAATGTTAGGCATTGGGGCAGACTGAAAAATGTCTAAAGAAGGCATTACTCAGCTCTGGTTGATTGCTAGCATGAAGGAATGGAGAATCACTTTCCCAAAAGAAATGGAAATCCAGATTTTTGTGAGAAATATGCATTTTCATTTTCTTTTTTCTTTTTTTTTTGAGACAGAGTCTCACTCTGTCACTCTGGGTAGAGTGCAATGGTGTCATCATAGCTCACTGCAACCTCAAACTCCTGGGCTCAAGTGATCCTTTAACCTTAGCCTCCCAAGTAGCTGGGACTACAGGCGAGTGCCACTACGCCCGCTAATTTTTCTATTTTTTGTAGAGACAGGGTCTCTCTCCTCCCACCTTGGCCTCCCAGACTGCTAGGATTACAGAGGCATGAGCCACCTCACCTGGCCTGAAATCTGCATTTTCTGGTTATTGGCAACTACTTCTACTGAACAGCCATAGCAATAACCACACACTACTGTGGAACATGTGAACATTTCTGCAGGCTGGACTCAGTATGCATGTCCCCAGCAGAGAGCCTTTGAAGGACATGTTCTCTCTCAGGATCCTTTGGAGAGAAGTCAGCAGGATTCAGCCTTGGGGGTTAAACAGGGAGGGAAGGGCTGGGGGAAGAGAAAGCAAAGGGACCAAAGACACAGCAAAAATAGTCACATGTGGCAAAGACTGTTTTCTGTCATCTTCCCCTGTCTTAGGTTCCACCCAAAGGAATCTCGTGTCATAGGTAACCTAGAATATGGGGCAATGTATGCAAGAATGCCATGGTTAACCAGTTCCCCTAAAAGTATGTGGGCTCAATTCCTTGCTTTATGTGCCTGAGGCCCTCTCCTGCAAAAACAAACAGGATTTGACAGTTTTTTTGTTTTTTTTTTTATCTTTTCTTAGAGGCAGACAAATATAAGCAGCCATAACCTGTTCTTACCACTTGGGCAAGGACTGGAGAAAGGGCAAAGACAACTTGCAACTCCAGAAGTTACATTCAGGGTCAGTTTTCTCTCCCCAAGTTAACATTAACCTTTAGGTAAACGGAGCCACTCCTCCTTGAGGGCTTGGTAAACAGGAGTAGTTCGGGGAGTGGAGCTGGTCGTTTACCTGCAATGAAGGAAGCAGCCCAAGGTCAAGACTTCATATAGCTTAGTTCTCTTGAACTTTGCCATAATGTGCCTGTTCACTGGGGAAAGTTGACTCACAAGGCCCAGACTTTATCTGTCAGTTGCACTGAGCACAACTCTTTCTCCTCTTGCTCTGGTGTCATGAGAAAGGATCTTGGGTGTAAGTGGCAAGAGAGAGAAATAAGTAGCAATCCTTGGCTGACTTGGTAATTCTGCTCTCCCTCTCCGGGGCAGTTATGAGCATTCAGTGAGAGCACGCATATGCAAATTCTTTGAAAAGCCCAGAGAACTATCCCCACAGGAGGGCTTATGTTAAATTGTTCATAGGCAGCCTCCATAGTTAGAGAGCCCCACCACCACTAGATTTGGTTTGGGAAAGGGGCAGAGAGAGGTGGAAGGGTACAGTAATATTGAAGACAGGGCAGTAGGGTATTAAAGTTGTCTAGAATTAGCAAGTTTGTGTACAGAGAGGAGGTGATTCCCAAGAGATCAACTGATGAGCCTGCTACAGTTGCATATTGCTGGTAGTAGTCCCAATTGTTTGAATCCCTCTGGGAAGCAACATGGTGATTTTATAAATATACAGAAGCTATATAATTTGCATATTCATTAACCCTGTAATCCCAGGATATTAGCTTAAGAAAATAACCCCAAGGAAGTAAAAGACCCTTTATACATGAAAGTGTACATTTTAAAGCTATTTATATAATGTCAAAACAAAGCAACTCACATTTCCAACAATAGGGCAATGGTTGGTTCAATTCAGGCACATTCCTTCAGTGGACTATTGCACCATTAAAAACCAGAAACGTGTAAACTTTGCCACAACAAAAAGGATGTTTATGATATGACATTAAGTGGGCAAAATGCATATACAAAGTTGATTACAACCATATATGAATAATTATGCTTAGAAATTAAGAATAAAAGAGAATCTGCAAACAGGTCAATGCTGCTGTGTTAGGGTAGGAAAGCTACAGGTGATTTCCCACCCTGCCCCATTTTCTAAGTCTCCTTTAATGTTATGTCATTACAATAATAATAAATTATAACAAAGCCATTATGATTATCTTTTTAAAAATCCAAAGCATTTGTGAGGGAAGAAGAGGTGTTAAGTAGCAAGAGGACTATGGGTACCAAAGGAGAAGTGGTTAGGAGGCCTGTGGGGTTTTCGGAGGTGAGGAGAGAAAGGGAGAGCCCTGGAAAATTGGCTTTCTGGTCACAGGAGCCTTGGCTATGAGGAAATGTGAGTCAGTTAATGGGGCCTGGCAGTTCTGGGTTACCCAAAGGCAAACTAAGCATGTTCCTAAGGAGCAGAAGTTCCTAAGAGGCATTAAAATCCATTTCAAAAATATTTGATATTTGAAATTTTGAGCAAACATCAAAGAAGTCTCACGGGGCCAGGAGGATGAGAACTTTGCTGGACTTTGTTATGTGTATTTTATAATTTGATCTTGTTTTTATTTTGGAATGGATGGTGGGGGAGGCATTATGGCCTTTTCTTTCTTTTGTTTTTGTTTTTTTTTTTTTGAGACAGTTTCACTTTCTTGCCTAGGCTAGAGTGCTGTGGCATCAGCCTAGCTCACAGCAACCTCAAACTCCTGGGCTCAAGCAATCCTCCTGCCTCAGCTTCCCAGGTAGCTGGGACTACAGGCACGCACCACCATGCCCGGCTAATTTTTTCTATTTTTGTGGTTGTTTGGCTAATTTCTTTCTATTTATAGTAGAGACGGAGGTCTTGCTCTTGCTCAGGCTGGTCTCAGACTCCTGAGCTCAAGCAATCCTCCCGCCTCAGCCTCCCAGAGTGCTAGGATTATTGGTGTAGCCACCGTGCCCGGCCTTATAGCCTTTTCTGTGCTTGGGGTCTCTGAAGGTCCGCATCTGGCCCTGGGCTGGAATCTTATTGTTCAATCAGCTATAAGTCAGTCATGTACTCCATGAGCGACAGTGGCGTTCACTTTCGGGCCAGTAGATTGCTGCGTGGGAAGTTCCATGCAGTGCCGAAATAGTTAACAGACCTCCTGAAAGCACCTCCAGCTGCACCCTCTTGGGACTAACTTGCTCAGCAAGGAAGGCTTGAGGCTTGGTTCTGAGGCTGTCTCCAGACAGTAACTCACTTTAATAATAAGATTGGTTACCAGGTGGTGCCATGCATAGCATCTCAGCCTGCTCCTGAAAACCCCAGGAGGGAAAAACCAAGGCCAATGTTGGCTGAATGAGTCCCCAAGGTCGGAGTCAATAGCAAAAGGTGGAGTCAGCTCCCTCCCTGAACTTGCATCCACCCCGGAGGTAGGGGTAGAATTTTATAACCGGCAACCTGTTGCCTTGTCTTGGAACCCGGGTTCACCACCCACATGAGCAAGGGAAGGGGTCCCCCTGCAGGAAGATCCATGTAACTGCGGCTCACTCTGTTCTTTCTCCAGAGAGCTGGTTTTTCCCCAGAGCTTCCTCCCAGGCCAGGGAGATGCTACCGTACCTGACTTTGGAAAGCGAGGAAGGGGCAGGCTTCGAAGAGAGGGAGGACTGTTCCATAGAAGATCCAAAAGAAATCATCATGCTGGCTTTTCTGAGAGAGAACACTGGGATGCAAAAGGGTCTTCAGAATGCCCAGCAGCAAGGCAAGAAGAAGAGGAAGAAAAAGAGGTTAGGATTGAAAGAAGGGGAGTGGGGATCCATGTTGGTGAGAACAAGAAGGACCTGGGGGGAAGGGGGTCTGGCTGATGATGAGAGGGTAAAGAAGAAACTGTGTGTGGAGACTGGCAAAATCACACCGCTTTCGGTTCATATAAAAAGAATCTACTTTTGATGATCTGTTTTATAGAATCAAATAATGGTGTGTGTAATCCAAAACCACACCTTGTCCTAATTTTCATTCTGTTTGTGTTTAGAATGGCTTTTTTTTTTTTTAAGTGGGTGCGAAGAGAAGATTTCCTTGTTTGAAGAAAGTGCTTATTTGTCCTGGGACTTTAGCACACCTTAGATATAACAGAACCATGCTGACTTATTAGGACGTGACTGCACCTTGTACATTCCAGTTCTTGTTTAATATTTCACCATGCCTTGCTCCATTCAGACTGATTGATAAATGAGAGCTTGTCCACTTTCTAATTCACAGCTTCCTTCATTGGGGGGAAGGAGGGAGAAGACAAATATTTTGGCCAAAAAGATTTTCAATTTCTGTCCCCAGTGGACCACTGGAGTAAAAGGATTGAGACCGGGCGCGGTGGCTCATGCCTGTAATCCCAGCACTCTGGGAGGCCGAGGCAGGTGGATTGTTTGAGCTCAGGAGTTCGAGACCAGCCTGAGCAAGAGCGAGACCCCGTCTCTACTAAAAGTGGAAGGAAATCAGCTGGACAACTAAAAATGTATAGAAAAAATTAGCCGGGCATGGTAGCACATGCCTGTAGTCCCAGCTACCTGGGAGGCTGAGGCAGGAGAATCGCTTGAACTCAGGAGTTTGAGGTTGCTGTGAGCTAGGCTGACACCACGGCACTCTAGCCTGGGCAACAGAGTGAGACTCTGTCTCGAAAAAAAAAAAGGATCGAGGCAATGATATTAATATAAAGTTACAAGCAAAATTAGCTGTAATTGCAGTACAGAATTTCTACCTCGTGGGCAGAGTAATAGTCCTCTGATTCCACGTTTTCTGCCACTCTGTACCCCTTTGGATTCGTGTCTTTAGTAACAGGGACTGCCACACCAGGCTCAGTGTGGCAGGCTAGGTTTCATGCAGCTCCACCTGGGACAGGCTGTTTCTGGGTACAGTCCCCTATTCTGGCAAGTGTGTCTGTCTCTGTCTTGCTGTTTTCCTTTTTCTCTTTTCCAGATGATTGGTGATCAATTTATCCAGCTGCCGGTACGAGAGCGGTGAGCATCTGGGATCTATGAGGGGGACCCATTGAATTCCCTTAAAGGGTTGGGAAGGGTCACTCTTGTGTGTTCTTGAGGATGAAGGGGTGGTGTCTCCAAATCCCATCCTTTAGTTCTCCTAGATCAATGAACTGTTTGAAGAAGTTGGGGATCTCATTCCAGGAATCACGGGGTTTGACCACAATGGTGTGTACTTCACCTATCTGTATTTCTTACATACGGTGCTTTGGGGGTCTGATAGTAGAAGAGGCAGCTGTTGCTGCAATCAGCGGCTCTGTTTTAGAGCACAAATCACAAACTGGCAGTCCATGAACTGATCCTGGCCTGCAGACCCATTCTGTACTGCAGAGCACAGTGTTGCTGTTGTATTTTAAATTCAAATTTAAATGCTTTAGGCTGGTCTTGTATAATATTCTCCTGGTTACTGCAGGTACTTCTCCCCCTCTACACCCTTGAGTTTGTATTGGAGTCAACTCCCCGTTCTAATACTACAGGGGCAGGGGAAGAAGGATGTGATAGCATATTTGTGGTTTTGAAATACATTGTATACTTTTATATATATATACACTCAGTGTATTATGTATAATTTTTTTTCCTGCCAATTTATCTCACTAATTAAGTTTGGCTCTGGCTGGTGTTAAGGATTAGTTTATATTCCCTGAACATTCAGAGTTTAGTGGTTTGGAGGAAAGCCAGAGGCCTGCTTCCTGGCAGGTAAAACATTCATCCCAGATAACCTTCTTGTAAGGAACATTGTGCACGGACTGTGTTCTTCAATAGCTTTCAACTGGCCACGTTCCGACCTTGGCAGTGGTGCGCCCAGGCAGGGCAAGATGGCTTCCAGCCCCGAGTTCTCTCGCTTTTGTACTCGGGCTGGGAGCACCTAGAAATGGAACCTCCCCACCCCACAGTGCTCCCCCACTTCCCGGGCTCACAGGCTTTTCTTTCTTCACCCCCACTGCAGTGCGTAGGGCAGCTCAGCAATATGGCCTTAGAGAGGGAGGAGAAAACGATGACTGGACTCTCTACTGGACAGACTACTCAGTGTCGCTGGAGCGCGTGATGGAAATGAAAAGTTACCAGGTATCTGGGTCAGTGCCGGTGATCTGTGTGGCACCTACACAGTGGGGCCCTCATTTTTATAACTGCCTGGTTATAACTGCCTGGTACTCTGTGTCCCCCAGTGGTTCATGACTTCCAGCTTCTTTTGCAGAAAATCAATCACTTCCCTGGGATGAGTGAAATCTGCCGCAAGGACTTGCTGGCCAGGAATATGAGCCGCATGTTCAGGATGTTCCCTAAAGATTTCCACTTTTTCCCTAGGACTTGGTGTCTTCCTGCTGAGTGAGTGACCCCTGTGCTTCCTTCTCCACACCCCACCTCTGCTTATTAATGCATTTCCCTCTCGCCCCCATTCCCCGGTGGTTACTTTCCCTTCCTGTATGATCTCCCATCTCTCTGGCTACTGTTCAGGAAGAGAAAGGATAAAGGGTGTGTCCAAGGTTGAGAAAACACAAGGCTCTGCCTATAAAACTAGATGACATTTAGGGGCTGGGTGTCTTGGAGCCTGTACCTGCAGTTGGGATCAGAGTTTTTTCTGACCCTGAAAGCTGTTGATTTTGAACTCATTCCAACCGTTCAACTGTGCAGTTTCTGAATTTTTAAGGACCGCGAGCACCGCCGGAGAAAGAAATGCAGTGGTTAGCTCCCAGGTTAGGAGCAGGGAGGGATGCCTGGCATCTGTCCCATGCAGCTCCACGGGTAGTGGTCAGTGCTTCCCCTTCTCTGGTCTCACTGTGTCCATTTCAAAACTGGATATCCTTTCCTGGTCTGTAAAATGCTCTGGACTGCATCACCAAGAAACAGAATACATGTGAGATGACATGAACATGATCTGGGGGCAATCTGGTGGTTGAGTCAGGGCCGGGGGGGTGAGCAGAGAAGTGTCACCATCAGAAACATACTCACATGGCAAGGGCACCAGAAGAATCCCACCCTCTCCTCTCCACCCAGTGCTTCCCCAAACCAAGAGCTCCAGGGAGCTCTTGGCCTCTCCTTAGCTTGTTGAAAACAACTTCCGGGGCTCAGCAGCAACTTAGAAGGAAGTGTCTTTGCCATAAGGTCAACAGGAACTCTAGATTTCATGACCACTGAGGAGCATTGCAGTTAAGTGACTTCTTCAACGGTGACAAGGTTCTTTTGAGTTAAAATGCAAAACAAGAAGTATAGCAAGACTGGGAGATAAAATCCATTAAATTGGTTTCTTTCCTTCTTCTGAATATACTTTCTTCAAAGCATGTTCAAAGATATTATTTGCTGTCCCATACTCTGGCCGAAGGAAGAAGAGACTGATTGATCCAAGGTCGCATCACTTATCAGGGATTGAGGCAGAGCCGGATTCCAAATCTGTATGCAAAGCCAGAAAAGCAAACTACCTGGGTCGCGGCCACATTTATGGGGTGCACAGCACATATCAGTGCTTTGCCCACCTTATGTCATGTACCCAACCACCAAAGGAGATGACTGTCATTAGTGTCCTCATTGTAGACATGGTGAAGTTGAGGCTTAGAGAGGTCAGGTCCTTGCAGAAGATTACACAGCCGGACATGGCATTGCCTGGGTTTAAATCCAGGCCTGAATTCCCTCTGAAGACCACATTCTCCACCGCATATTGCTCACCCGCCCCCATTGCCAGAGCTCTGGGTGACTGTCAACACCGGGGCTTTGTCACATTAGATAGCTTTTCTTTCTTTTCATAAAAAGCTAGCCTTGCTTTTCATTGTTCCCCAGCTAAAGATGTGTCTTGTTCCCTCCCTGCTCTGGCAGCTGGGGAGATTTGCAAACCTACAGCAGGTCAAGAAAAAATAAGACATATATTTGTAAGCCGGATTCAGGCTGCCAAGGGAGAGGTATATTCATTACCCGGACGGTGAAAGAAATCAAACCAGGGGAGGATATGATCTGTCAGCTGTATATTTCAAAGGTACTTCCTCATTGTGATTATTTATTTATCGCCCATAGCAACCTCGGGCTCCACCAGACAGAATGTGAAACGAGGGACTGGAGGGTGGAGGTGGGGGTGAAGCGGAGCCCGTCTTCTGCTGTGGATTCTGTCAGACCAAGCTTTCTGACCTGGGTGCTGCCATGTGCCTGGCCAGAGTGTCCCTCACCCTTGCCCTCTTTATTTTGTTGTTGTCAAAAGTCAAAGACAATGCACCCTTGTTATTCAGTCTGGCCTACCTGGCTGGCTCTTTCCCTCTGACACATGCACACGAGGGCTGGGAGGGAACCTTGGGATTGTGGAAGCCCCAACTTATTTGGGAAAAGTGGGAGGAGTCCTGGGGCGGTTCATGGTAACCAGCTTTCCTCCATGGCTGGAGGTCAGAGGTCACAGTGGGATAACCCACAGTGGGAGAGAGCCCTCTAGAAGCCTGGGTGGAGGGGGAAGCAAAATGGCCAAGAGATGACACTGCAGGGAGAGCTCTTGCAGAACTGCAACTACAGTAGCCCTGGATGGTGACCACATGTCCTTTCATCAAAGGACTTTTTTTTTTTGAGACAAGGTTTTGCTCTGTCACCCACGTTATAGTGCAGTGGGGTCATCACAGCTCACTACAACCTCTAACTCCTGGGCTCAAGCGATCCTCCTACCTCGGCCTTCTAAAGTGCTAGGATTACAGGTGTGAGCCACTGTGCCTGGCCCACCAAAGGACATTTGAATGTCACTTTGTTTAGTTGCCACAACGTCTCTTGGAGGTGGTTACTTGTGCTATTGGACAGATCAGGACACTGAGGCACAGTGAGGTTTTAGTGACCTCCACAAGGTCACATGCTGGGTCACAGAGCCTAAGTCTCCTTCCCCCCGACCCTCCCATCTCCGACCCTGGCCAAACCTGCCCTCTGTCACACTAGGCAATGTTGGAGCTGACCCCATGAAAACAAGGTGGGAGCTAGTGTGATTTTCAAGTGTGAATTTCTTCTCTGATGCTTGTCTGACTTCTGTTCTGTCCTCTCAGCCCTTTATCATTGATGGGTTCAAGTTTGACCTACGGATTTATGTGCTGGTGACATCCTGTGACCCTCTCAGGATTTTTGTGTACAATGAAGGGCTGGCCCGCTTTGCTACGACCTCCTATTCCCCCCCTTGCACAGACAACCTGGTGAGCTAAAGGGATACCCTGCCTCACCCTACCCCCTCAGCGCAGTAAAAAAATCCTAGTTAAATCCACATTCTCAAGACACTGTGGATGTGGCTGTCATTTATTGAGCACTTACTATGTGCTGGGTTGTATGTGTTCTCTCATTTAGCCCTGTCAGGAGTCCTAAAGAAAGGGATTGTTATTCCCATTTTACAGACAAAGAGGTTAAAAGCCAGAGCATTAGGGACTTGTCCAAGGTCACATAGCTAGAAAGAGTTGAGTCGGGAACTTGTGGCCGGGCCTGCCTGACTCCACAATTCAGGAGTGCTCAAGGAGAAAAGCCATGGGTGAGCTACCCTGCCATCCTCCCCACCCCAGGCCCCCAGGACCCCTGAGGTTGTCCTCAGGCAGGGTGCCACCCAATCTCAGGAGAGCTGGAGTTTCTTATGCTCCAGGCTGCAGGACACCCCTTCCTACCTCCTCTATTTGCTAGTTCAAGTAAGCCCTAAGAATTCCCTTTCTTCCCATCCCTTTAGGCCCCAGGGGCCACGGGAGGGCACAGCGAGGAAGTGGGAGGCCCAAGCTTCCGGCCTGACCCCACGGACTGTGTCTCTCTCCCCAGGATGACATCTGCATGCACCTGACTAATTATTCCATTAATAAGCACAGTTCGAATTTCAGTCGAGACGCTCACTCTGGCAGCAAGAGGTAAGGAAGCGGCTTCCCCTTTCTTTCCTTTCCCGCCAGCCTCACAGCTGCTTTCTGGGATTCTACCCAAACCCCGTCCGCCCCCATCAGTGTTTCCATCTTGGGTCACATGGTCTCAGAAAATACTTCCTTGCCTCTCAAACCCAGAATAGACTCCTTCATCTCTGCTGTCTGGGCTGTTAATCATTAAAAGAAGGCCACATCGTAAACCCTAGGAGGCTGGCAGGAGGAGAGATAAACATGAGCCATTTCCCCAGCAGAATGCATACAAACTCCAAAACATACCCTTATTACACTTGGCCCTTAAGACATCTCCAAATCCAAAGATATTCATTGATTGCTAGTCTGCCACGCAAGAAGGACTTGCCAGGCGACTGTTTTTTGGCCTGTGGTTCCCCGGCGTGTTGCTCCATTGAGATTCTCAAACGATGCGTCACTACGCCCTGACATGTGGCTCGCTGGCTTTAAGAGTCCCCAGAAGGGGGGAAAATGAGAGAAATTCCTTAGAGCATCTTCATAAGTGGTTTTTCCATGCATGTTATTGTCTAATCGGGTCTCATTTGGGTTTTAGAAAAAGGGGGACTGGGGAATGTGAACATGCCCAGGCACGGGGAGGAAAGAGAAAGGAACACGGATTTCTGGGGTCTCCTGTGTGTTGGAGCCTGTGCCAGGTGCTGGGTGTGCATCTGTTGTTGTTGAATTTTCCCAACGACACTGTGGCAAAGGCATAATTATCTGTCCTTTGTGGGCGGAGAACTGTGAGTTAGGTTCCATCTCCATTTTACAGATGAGGAAACTGAGTCTCTGAGAGGTTAGGTCAGTTGCCCCCGGTCACATAGCTCTGAATGCTAGAGTAGGTCGAGAAGCCTGGTCTGTCATGCCCCACGGCTCTCCCTCATTCTACTGTACCAGGCTTCAAAGGACTAATCAACAGGCCATCCATTTGGCTTCAGAGCATCAGAGAAGCATGTGACATTTCACACCTTCCTCAGTAGCAAAATTCCAAAAAGCACATAGAGAATCACTCCGTTAAACCTGCTGGAAGGGGACGTGTGAGGCTGGAATGAGGCAATCTCCCCCATTTTCAGTGGATGCCGGCCTCCTGTGCTGCCTGAAGCTCTCCCACCTCCTCCTCTCCCTGCCCAAACTGCGGGCACCAGCTGAGCCGCTGGTCTAGCTGCAGATTGAGCACTGGCACTTGGTGAGGCCTGGTGTCCAGTCCCGGCTCTGATGCTTGCCAGTTGAGCAAGTGTCGACAAGTTACCTCATCTCTCTGAGCCTCCGTGTCTTGGTCTGTGAGATGAGGATATAAGACTCCTCGCCCTGCCCTGCCCGCATCGTAGGGTCCCTGTGAGGCTCAAACGACCTGTGACGGCAGCACGGACAGTGTTTGTGGTTGCTGATATTTTTCCTTAGTCTAAGGACGTGTGATGGAAATATTCTCATTTCCCTCCTCTGATGAGAACCGACACCCCAACAGCAGGCTGTGATGGAGGGGGTGTTACAGGGCGGCAGGACTAAGGTGAGGTTACGGAGACTTGGACTATTGTTCTGCTGCCCTCGACGCCCCCTTCCTCTTCCCTCTCCTCCCCTCCTCCTCCACCCTCTGTTGGAGCGGCCATATCTGCCCCCATGGCCTCCGCCTGCCCTCTCTTGGCTCAGCCTCTCTGCCCCGGGCTCCAGGCCCATCTCTCCTCAGCTCCACCTGGACGTCACCCTGTTGCTTCCAGCTCAGCATTTCCCGACCTGGATGCGCGCTTTCTCCTGCTTCAAACCGGTCTCCCTGCCCAGCTTTCCATCTCTACCTTCTCAGCTCTAGTGTTGGGGAGCTTGGACATTTCCTTTTCCAGAGACTCATTCAGTCCTGAAGATTCCTCCTTCACGTGTCTCTGCACCCCTTTCTTTGCGCCAGGCCCGGGCCCCTCTTCAGGCTCAGCCCCGATGGCCGCAGGGGCCTCCTCGCTCTTCTCGCCAGCTCTGGGCACTTGTGCATAACTCTCCACACCTCCGTTTTCTCATCTCGAACATGACGTATTAAGTAGGAATGCTGGCTGGTCTGCCTCACAGACGTGCTGGAAGGATCTAGTGAGGGGATGTGTATGAGTGGGCCTCAAAAACAACAACCTCACACAAGGGGGTGCTGTCGGTGTTGTGCATTCTGTGCACTCACTACTTGTACTCTCAGGTGCCTAAAGCATCAAGTTCAAACTCCTCTGCTCAGGCTACTGTAATTTCCACTCTTATTACTACTGCACTAATAGCCAACATCTTATTTGTTGAGCGCTAGCTACATGCCATGCATTGCTCTAGGCAATTTACACACTTTAAACCGCTGAATCTTTGTGACAAGGCTATGAAGTAGGCATTTTCATCACCCCTATTTTGCATATTAGGAAACTGGGGTGTGAAAAGGTTGAGTAACTTGCCCAAGGTCTCACAGCTAGGAGGTGATAGAGCTGGAATTGAAACTCAGACGGTCTGGCTCCTGAGTTTGTGCTCTTACCTGCTAACCTGTACTGCCCATGCTATTCACGCCAAGTTCTGCCAGGACACCTTCTTTTGCTCAGGCCTTGCTTATTCCCAGCTCTCTGCCTTTGCTCAGTTCCAACCAAAAGCATGGGAGAGGCTGGGTATGGTGGCTCACACCTGTAATCCTAGCACTCCAGGAGGCCGAGGAGGGAGGATCACTGGAGGTCAGGAGTTTGAGACCAGCCTGAGCAAGAGCAAGACCCTGTCTCTACTAAAAAAGAAAAAAAAATTAGCTGGGCAACTAAACATAGAAAAACTTAGCTGGGTGTGGTGGCACGAGCTTGTAGTCCCAGCTACTCGGGAGGCTGAGGCAGGAGGATCGCTTGAGCCCAGGAGTTTGAGGTTGCTGTGAGCTAGGGTGATGCCATGGCACTCTAGCCTGCGCAACAGAGCTAGACTCTGTCTGAAAAAAAAATAAAAAAAAGCACTGGAGAATATCTTTAAAGGCCCCTCTTCTGTTTCACTAAGCTTCCATGTTGCCTTCTCTGATCTGGTTCTAACGTCTGGTGTAACTGGATAACCACCGCAGTGTGGGCAAAACCCATCTTCTCTTTGAGCCTCTGTCTCCTCACCTACCAGATGAGAGGACTGGATTCCGCCTCGAAGGACAAGCCTGTGGAACCTGAGTCTAACCACGCACAGTGACTTTCCCTCTCTGAACTTGCACCACCATCAGCCACAGCCTGTGGTGCCCTGGCCTTTGGGGTGCTTCCCATATTGCCAGGCAGAGTTCTTCATTCCTTCTCCCTATGCTTTTCCTTTCTCCCTCCCCATCTTTTGAGACAATCTGCTTCTCATCCTGACTGTCTCACCTGCCCCAAAGTTGGCAGTGGAGGCCAACTGCCCTCCCAGTCAGTCCCCCACTGGGGTGCACACTCAATAGGAGTAGCGCTCCGGTCATGGTGAAAGGGAAGAGAGAAAAGTCCTGCCCGCAGGACTCTGGGGCAGACACCAGGCCACCTTCACGTCTTAGTGTTCCCAGCGCATGGCGGATGTCGAATTGAATTGACTAACCACTGGGCATTATGAAATTGTGTAATAACGTATAAATATATTCATTGTGATGGGCTCTGAGTCATCAGGAAAAGGTTACGTTTTGTTTTATCATGTCTGTTATAAGAAGTCAGGGAAGTATATAATCTATTTAAGGAAAATTTATTTCCCAATAAGGAAAATTAAATACATTTTTTTTTACTTGAAAGGATTGGCTTCAAACGATCTAGAAAATCCATTTATGTACAACACTCCATTTCCTGACAATGGTAGGTAGAGGAGGTGGCCTCTATATTGAGTGGCCTTTGCTTATCTTTTTTTTTTTTTTGAGACAGAGTCTGGCTCTGTTGCCCGGGCTAGCGTGCCGTGGCGTAGGCCTAGCTCACAGCAACCTCAATCTCCTGGGCTCAAGCAATCCTCCTGCCTCAGCCTCCCGAGTAGCTGGGACTACAGGCATGTGCCACCATGCCCGGGTAATTTTTTATACATATATTTTTAGCTGTCCAGCTAATTTCTTTCGTTTTTTAGAGAGACGGGGATCTCGCTCTTGCTCAGGTTGGTCTCGAACTCCTGAGCTCAAACGATCCACCCACCTCGGCCTCCCAGAGTGCTAGGATTACCGGTGTGAGCTACCTCACCCGGCTGCTTATCTGTCTTCATATAAATGCATCCTTAGTTGTTTCATATGTGTGTTGACTCCCCAAATGGTCCTTAGGCTTCTCACGAGAGAGGTGGCAGTTCCTAGGTGTCCCCTCCTTGCGTGAAACTTTGCATGCACAGCAGGCCCTGAGCAAAGCTGCATTGACTGGCCCACCCTGCCTCCTCCTCTTTGACCCCTTTGGCTGGATGAGCCATGTCTCTTGTCTTCTTCATCCTCCCCTCTGCTCCTCACTCTCCTGCGTCTCCTCCTTCCATATTTCCACTTCCGCATCAGCTCTCTGCGCACATGCGTGTGCGTGGGGGGAGACAAGTGTCCGTCTCCATCACTGCCTCTGGGACTGTCAGATTATCCTGTCTCTGTACTGCCCAGCTCAGAGCTGACTGGAGCATCCACTCAGATATTCTTCATGAACCCCTCCGCGTGGGGCAGATGTCCTCTGATTTCCTCACTTTTCTTTTGCCTGCAAACTGAGGGATTTCCTGGAATATGGGACTTTCAGTTCTAAAAATGGGATAGTCCAGTGTTCTTGGAACAGCTGGTAACCCTATCTGTGGAAATGCCTTGGGGCTGCCTTTTCCCCATAAGTAGCCCTAAAACAAGATTTATGTGTCTTTGGTATCCCCAGAATCCCCTCAGATGGCTGAGGTGGGACCTGGGTGTCAGTATTCTCTAAAGGCTCTCCAGGTGCTTCTAATATACACTAAAGGCTGAGAAACGATTGCCCCCAAAGCAAAACCCTGATATAGGTGGTTGGTTGGTCTGTTTCATCTGTTAAGCTTCCGCCTGTGGTACCCAAGCCCTTCCCTGCCCACAGGTGTTTTCTGGGTCATAGTGAAAGTGTGTGGGCCACGTCTTATGTGACTTTATATCTGCGCCCACCCCAGGGCTCTGGAGGCTTGGGAAGGATGGCCCTGTGACTCCTGCAGGCCTCCTTTCCTGCCGACACAGCCCTGGTGTCACCTGGTCCGTGGGCAGCCTCCCCACTGGCTCTGGAGCCTCATCTTCTCCAGCAGATTCTGGTTCCAGCCTCGGATGACCAGAGGCCACTGTCCTGCCTCATGGCCTGCGGTTCCCTTCCAGAAAGCTGTCCACGTTCAATATGTACATGGAGAAGCACAGCTACGACGTGGAGCGGATATGGAGGGACATCGAGGACGTCATCGTCAAGACGATCATCTCGGCTCAGCCCATCATCAAACACAACTACCACACCTGCTTCCCCAACCACACTTTCAACAGCGCCTGCTTCGAAATCCTGGGCTTTGACATCTTGCTGGACCGCAAGCTCAAACCCTGGCTGCTGGAGGTAGGGGGTTTGGGTGAGGGGGGAAACTGACTCCGTGATTGGGGTCAGCCAGCTCCAGGGACTCCGCCCTCCAGGCTCACCTGGATTGTTTTTTTTTTTTTTTTTTTTCAGCATATTATGGGGGTATAGATGTTTAGGTTACGTGTGTTGCCTTTGGTTCCCCCCCCCAAGTCCGTGTCCCAAACATGTCCATCCTTCGGGTAGTGCACATTGCACTCCTTGTGTGTACAAATACCCGTCCCCTCCACTGTTTTAATCAACTTCCGGAGCCACTTCCTCCACTGGTGCCTGCCGCCTGGGGCTCCTCTCTCAGTTGAGAAGTGGCCACCAGAGGGGGGTAGACGGCTGGGAATTAGAGAATTCCTTGCGCCTTCGTGAGGTCCACCCAGACTTGGAAACGCTGATCTCACGCACAGTGTTTCTAAAGACAGCTCTACCTTTTGTGACAGAGTTGTCTCCCAAAAGGGGGTGTTCTTTGTCAGAGCTGGGTCAGTGTTCAGTGTCAGACAGGAGCCATGCCCGGCTCTCAGGGGCCTGGACTGCTCAGTTCTGAGCCCCAGCAGAGATGGGTGGGAGAGCCACTCAGTGAGTTTCCTGCCTCCCCAGACCCGTGGGGTGGTGGGAGGAGGAAGAGAAGCTTTCTGGGTGGCTGCCTCTCTTTCTGATCAGACTTGTCCTCTCAGGAGCCCTCAAGTGGCCATTCAGTGAGCAAAGGGTGCGAGGTGAAGTCAGGGATGCTAGTGCCAGGTGCCAACAACACAGAGAACACAGAGTGGAGAACCCAGAATTACAGATCAGACTCCTGGGCTCCGCCCAGCCCTTGTTCCCAGGTGTGGTGGGAAGCGGGTAAGTCTGGAGCTCTCACCCAAAGAGCAGAATAAGCTACTAGGAGCCAGCCTCCAGAAACTGCTAGAGAGGCCGGGTGTGGTAGCTCACGCCTATAACCCCAACACTTTGGGAGGCCGAGGCAGGAGGATCGCTTGAGGCCAGGAGTTCAAGACCAGCTGAGCAGTATAGTGAGACCCTGTCCCTACAAAAAATAGAAAAATTTAAAAATTAGCCAGGTGTGGTGGCACACGCCTGTAGTCCCAGCTACTCAGGAGGCTGAGACAGGAGGATCGCTTAAGCCCAGGAGTTTGAGGTTGCAGTGAGCTATGATGAGGCCACTGTATTCTAGCCCAGACAATGGAGTGAGACATTGTCTCAAAAAAAAAAAATAAATACAAATAAAAAAATTAAAAGAAAAGAAAAGAAAAGAAAAGAAAAGAATTGCTAGAAATTTACAAATGTCATCTAGTGCCTCTGAACAATATAGACCTTTCCGTGGGCAGGAGTGAGTCCTCGCCCTCCTCCCACCTGTCTCCCCTCCACCCCAGGTGGCTCCTGTGTTCCTGCAGCAGTGTTAATTCTCTTGGGAGATCAGGTGCAATTGCACCCCCGGGGCCCCAGGGGCCTGGTTCTCTGACTTCCCTGCTCCCAATGAGACTGGCCTGTCCTGGTCCAAATTATGACTGGAATGCACCATCCTTTCTACTCCATGCCTCCCAGCCTGCCCCTCCAGACTGCCCTTTCCATCCCGCCCCATGGAATACTCAGTGCACATGAGAGAACACATGCACTCCAGATGGAGCAGAACACGCACACCAAAGAGAGGGCAACCCCCGATGCTTCCAGAGAAGAAAGGGCTGAGATAAAAGCTAGTTTAACTAGAGGGAATTCCACTTCCTCCAGTCCAGACGCTCTCCTCTCCCTTTCACTCATCTTGGTAACCAGGGCCCTGAGGTGGGCTTTGGTAGCAACCAGGAGGTGGCATCTTGGCCTCATTCTCTTGGCTTTCACTCTGGACAGCCCTGTCCCCATCTTGCTTTCCCAGGTCAACCACTCTCCAAGCTTCTCCACCGACTCCTGGTTGGATAAAGAGGTGAAGGACAACCTGCTGTATGACACCTTTGTTCTGATCAACCTGAGAAGCTGTAACAAAAAGAAAGTCTTGGAGAAGGAGAGACAACGAGGGCGGTTCCTGCAGCAGTGTCGTTCTCGGGAGATCAGGTACAGTAGCATCCCGGGGGCCTGGTTCTCTGACTTCCCTACTTAGTCCCAACAAAACTCGTCTGTCCTGTCCACATTCTAACTCGACAACCAACTAGTTTTGTGGTCTTTCTGTCACTTCTCTGAGCCTCAGTGATCTTTCTGTGAAATGGAGCTAATGATACAGAGTGTTGTTAGGGGAATTAAATGAGATAATGCATAGAAAAATTTTAGCGTGGTGTCTGGCGTGATAATTTACATTAGAGGCTATTAAGAAGTTTGCCTGGAGTTGGGGGGATCATTTCTAACAAATGATAATTCTGTTTGGAAAATGGATTTATTCTTGCAGAATGTAGCAGTTCGAACAGGTTTACTATGAATATTCCTTCATTCCCAGAAACAGGAGGTTAAGTTGCAGATATATGATTATATATAATGGATAGAAAGTGATTAGTATCATCTGAAGATTTAGGAATTACCAGGGCCAGGTGCAGTGGCTCATGCCTGTAATCCCAGCACTTTGGGAAGCTGAAGTGGGAGGATCACTTGAGCCCAGGAGTTCAAGACCAGTCTGGGCAACACAGAGAGACCCCATCTCTAAAAAGTACTAGCCAGGCACGGTGATGTGCACCTGTCTTCCCAGCTACTCGGGAGGCTGAGGCGGGAGGATTGCTTGAGCCCAGGAGTTTGAGGCTTCAATGAGCTATAATCACACCACTGCACTCCAGCCTGGGCGCCAGAGCAAGACCCTGTCTCCAAAAAACAACAAAAAAGGAATTATTGATCTATAAAAATAAAGGCATTCCTTTATTTTTACTGAAGAGAAAGGTTTGCTGGCTCCCCCGTGCTCCGGTGCTGGCAGGAGCTAACGTCCCCCTGCTTCCTGCTCAGCATCATTTACCTGTAATTAGAGCCTTCGTTCTTCAGGGTGATCCTGGTGTCAGAGACGCTGAGCCTGGTCGAGGAGATGCCTTTGTTGCTTTTTACAATCCCACTACAGCCCCCCACCTTCCTCCAGGCACCCTCTCCAGAGCAGAGCCAGCCTCACCCTTCAGGACCGAGTTTCTGGAACTGAGGCCACACGTAGTGTTTATGTTTGGATGACACCGTGTTTCTCAGGCACTGTTACCTGCGCTGTCTTCCCTGTAAGGAGTGGGGAGGTAGGGAGGATGGGGTGTTGTGTGGTCCCGTGCTTGAAGGCAAGAGACCAAGACTCCAGAAAGGGAACTGACTTTCACAAGGTCACCTCGCTGGTAAGTGACACCTCTGGATCCAGAGCTCAGGGGTTTTGTAGTCTGGGGTTCCAGGATCCCTTCCACTGTGCCATGTCATCTCTAAGCTCCTTGGGCAGGAGGCAGCATCGTATTAAGGAGCAGCCATCAGGGTAAGGGCCTCCTCCGAAGCAGTCTGCTCATTACTGGGCCCCGGATGTCTCAGTGGCTTTTGATTTCCCTGCTGTAAAAGGAGGCCAATCATTCCTCCCAGCCTGACCTCCACCTCCCTGGGGGCCTGTGAGGAAGAATGAGATCATGACAGCTCATAAAGGCTCACCAAGCTCATCCAAGAAGCCCTCAAATTTAGCAAAACACAAGCTGCCATTCTTCAGAGAGGGGGATCAGGGCATTGGATGGGAAGGTGGCGACAGTCTGCCTGGGCAGCACTGAGCTGAGGGAGAAACAGGTTTTATTTGTAATAGGAGAGACTTTGGTGAGCTGTCAGGAAGACTCTCCTAATCAGCTCTTAGTGCATTTTGACATTGGCTGCCCTGGGAGGGCTAGAGGGAAACATTCATGCGTTTGTTTAGCAAATACTGATTGACCGCTATCATGTGCAAGGCCTCCATCTGGCCCTAGATGACATCCAGCTTGGACATGTCCCTTCCAGGCTTTGTCCCAAGAGAACTGAACTGCGGCCCTGTGTTCTGCTTTCCAACAGGACTGAAGAAGCCAAGGGTTTCCAGGCCTCGTGGTTGCAGAAAACTGAGAAGTACGAGAAGGAAAACTGTGGAGGGTTCCGGCTGATTTATCCCAGTCTGAACTCGGAGAAGTATGAGAAGTTTTTCCAGGACAATAGCTCCCGCTTCCAGAATACTATTGCGTCCAGGGCTCGGGAGGTGTATGCCCGGTAGGAAGACTCCTGGGCGACGTGGGGGGTGTCCTGGGGCTTGCGCCTGACCAGCTGGCTGACTGGCCTGGGGTGGTGGGGAGAGTCTCAGAGCCATGGTCCCCAACCTTGAAGCTGCCAAGGGAACATTTACTCTGGTCTCACAAGGACCAGGAATTGGAAAATTCCCTAGTGCAGGGTGTAGAAGAGTGGCTGTTTCTAGAAACTCTCTCCTGAGACAGACACCCCCACCCCACTCCAGGGTGTCCACCCCCTCAGAGCTGCATCATGGACTCATTCCATGGAGTCCAGCTGCTACTCCCCACCTCATTTTATGGAAGGGGAGGGCAGAGCAGGGAGGGGATCACATAGAAAGATGATGGCAAAAGAGCGACCAGAACTACCCTGCCTCCTGAGTCTTGACACCAAATTATTTCCACCATATTATGTCACCATTATCCACTCTCAGGACCCATTGGCCAGAGAGGCCCAGCATATGAAGTGGCCCAACATGGGAGCCCCTGGCTTTAGCCTCCTGTGCAGACCCTCTTCCCAGCGCCTGCCATGGTGGGGAACCAGCCTGCTGGGAGGTGGGAGAGGATGGGGTGTGGTGGAGTGGGGGTGGCCCCTTCCTGTGCATCTTTCCTTGGATGCTGTTCCCCGGACTGGGGACAGTCTTGTTGGAGGGATGACTCTTCCCTCCACACCCTGCTCTTTGACCTTTGATCACTTGTGCAGACTGGACGTGCTGGGGGAGGGACCGTGGTGCACTCTGCCACCTTGCCCAGGCTGGCCCATCCCTCAGGGAGAAGCCTGTCCCTGACCTGGTGACACTCACTTGTTCCTCAATGGGCAGGCAACTGATCCAGAAGCTGAGACTAAAAGAGGAGAAAAAACCCTTCCAGACCAAAGAGAGGAAGGTAGAGATGCTGGGGGAACTGGCAGGCGAGCAGGCCAGAGGCAACGGTGCAAGGACCTGGCGACAGAAACAACAGAAACGAGAGGGTGCTACCCACGCCACCCCCAAACAAGTAAACCCGGACGGGAGGGGAGCACGCATGCCCAGCACCCTTCCCCAGCTGGGGCCCATCCACGGTGGAGTGCTGAGGAGACCACCGCTCAGAGCCCAGACACACTGAAGGGCTGCCCGGAGGGGTGGGGAGCAGGAGGGGAACCCCGAAGGCACATGGGCCGCTGTCTTTAAAGGATCCCTCCATCCAGGCAACAGGGAACTCTCGCTGCTCTGTCCTTCTTGCCTCCTCCAAAAGGAATAAAAGCAGCCAGGCAGGCCACTCTGGGAGGCTGGGCACAGGCCCCATTAAGGGAGTGGGCTCCAGGACTGCGTGCACCATGGTCCTGGACTCCTGTTTGGGTCGGAACGCTCCCCTCCAGCTGGCCAGGGATGCAGCCGAGAGAGCAGGCAACTGGGAAGAGCTTCCCGGGTGGTGGGACTCTGAGAACATCACACATGGGATGGCGACCACGGCGGGTCTTTCCAGCCTGATCTCTGTGCAAAATGCGGGACAGCCCCAGGCTGTGGGCCAGCTGTCCGGTCGGCCTATGATCTAAGTCTTTGACTTCCCCTGTTCTGCCCAGTGCTCTCGTCTAGCTCGGTGGAAAGAGTCAGTTAACTTTTCAGTCCATCTCCTTTATCTCAAAGGCTCACCTGAAAGGACAGGATTAGAGCAGGGTTTTTTTGTTGTTTTTCTTTTTAACTTTCTTAGGGTCCTAGACCCTTTGAGAATCTGATAAAGGCTGTGGAATCTCTTGCCATAAAGCACACAATGCACAATTTTAAGACTGCAGTTTCAAGTGGCTCAAAGATCCCCTGAAGCCATCCAAGAGTCCTCTAAGGGTCCCAGAACCCCTAGTTAAAAGGCCCAGCTTAGAGAGACTTTGATATCAACTGCTTTCCTTCTCCTCTTCTCCTTTGCACCAACCTCTGGGTGCAGATGAACCTGGACGTGGACAGAGCTGGGTTCCCACGGGCTGTGTGTTTGCTCTCCTTCCCAGTACTCCCAGCCATTGACATCAATGTCCTGCACACCCAACTTGCTCTTGGGTGTCAGAAACGAAAAGAAAAATGAAACAGACCGCAGCCTCGACCAGGAGGCCCCTAAGAAGGAGGCTGGTCCTCTTCCCCCAAAGCCTACGTCTGCAAGGCAGTACAGCTCTGCACCCGACCTCGGGAATTCAAGACTCAGGTGCTCCAGGCTGGAGCTCAGTAAACCCAACCCCAAAATCAAGGAGACCAAGTCTGCCACCGCAGTGAACATATGCACTGGCACCGTGGTAAGCAGAGGGCCGAGCTCTGGGAGGGTGGGATGGAGGGGTGGGAGTCTTGCTTTCTGATCCCTTCTATACCCCTGACGTGCTGGCCCCTTGAATAAGCCAGTGAGCCTTCCAGGGCCTCCGTTTCTCAACTTGCGAAGCCCATGTGTGGAGTGGCATGCCTGCCGGGAGGATAGGCCTGGGATGGCTTTTAGAAAGGCTCTCTAATTCCCGCCCTCTTCTAAGGCAGGTTGCCACCTTAGAAGTGGTGGTTTCCTAGGGCAGCTGTGGCGAATCTGGTGGCACACAACGACACGATTTATTCTCTCACAGCTCTAGAGCCTAGAAGTTTGACATCAAGGTGTCCGGGGCCGTGCTCCATCTGCAGGCTCGGGACGATTCTTCATTGTTCCTGATAGATTCTGGTGGTTGCTGGCAATCCTTGGCATTGCTTGGTTTGTGGCAGCATAATTCCAACCTCTGCCTCTGCTGTCACATGGGCTTCTTGCCTGTGTTTCTCCTCTGGGTATCTTCACGTGACCTTCTTTTAAGGACTCCAGTCATTGGATTTAGGGACCACTCTAATCTGGTATGACCTCATCTTAACTTGACTAATTATACCTGCAAAGACTCCCTTTCCAAATAAGGTCACATTCTGAGAGGTGCCGGTGGACATGAATTTTGGACTCAATACATCACTTAAACAGCGTTTTTCAAACTCCATTGATGTATAGACAACTTTTGAAGGAAAGAAAACTCTCTCAGATCCCCATTATAGACCTAAACTATTTTTATAAATATATATAAGCATAGAATCAGATATAAAATACTGATACTTAGTGCTCTTATTTAACTACAGAACAAAACAGACAGCACCAATAAAATTCAAATAAAAATATTAATTTAAGGTGACAGTTGATTTTCTATTTTTGTAAAAACAGAGTTGCCACGTGAGTGTGGTACTGACTGCTCTAGCACAGGTCCCTTTGTGTTCTTCACCCTGAGGCTCACTGAGGGCCATGTGATGACCCCACTGTAACTTCTGGGAAATCTTCAGCATTGCTGAGCCTTTGCTGGGTCCGAGTGCAGTAGAGAGTAGTGCAATGTGTTTCAAAAATTTTAACCATAGCCCACAGTAAGATATCCATTTTATTTTACAGTCCACCATATATACAACTGGAAAAAAGTTTCTGAAACAATGCTTAGCCATACTACATTCAATGACTCATTAATATTTTCTATTCCGTACATTCTGTCCTATTCTATTCTTTAAAAATTACCAGTTACAACCCACTAGATTGATTTCATGACTTACTAATAGGTTTGTGACCCATAGTTTGAAAAGTACCTTTCACAGAGTATGCTTTGGAGCTTCCTGACATTGGATTTGTCAATGCTTTCTTGGGGATGACACCAAAAACACAGGCAAGAAAAGCAAAAATAGATAAATGGGACTGCATCACACTTAAAATGTCCATTCAGCAAAAGCAACAATCAACAGGGTGAAAAGGCAACCTATGCAATGGGAGAAAGCATTAGCGAACCGTATATCTGATAAGGAGTTTGTCTTAGTCTGTTCAGGCTGCTATAACAAAATACTTCAGACTGGGTAGCCTATAAACAACTGAACTTTAGTTCTCACAGTTCTAGAAGCTGGAAAGTATAAGATCAAGGCGCTGGCAGATTCGGTGTCTGACAAGGGCTCCTCCTCATAGATGGCAGCTTCTCACTGTTGTCTTTACGTGGTGGAAGGAGCTAGCTAGCTCTCTTAGGCTGTTTTAAGGGCACTAATCCCCTTCATGAGGGCTCTGCCTTCATCACCTATTCATCTCCCAAAGGCCCCAACTCTTACTACCATCGCCTTAGGGGTTAGGACTTCAACATAAGAATTTTGGGGGCTAATAAACATTCAGACCTGCCTCCAAAAAAAAATTTGCATTGGAATGCTCAAATCTTAACCGTACAATTTTAACCCACGTGTCCACCATAATATAGAACATTCCGATATCTCCAAAAAGTTCCCTCCTTCCCTTCCCAGGCAGTCTACCCCCCATGCCTCCCCAAGGCATTCACGATGCTGATTCCAACTTCTCTTTTTTTTCACCTTAAATTAATTTTGCCCACTCTAGAATTTTATGTAAATGGAGTAATACAGTTATATATGTGTTTTGACTCTAGCTTCTTTAGCTCAGTATTATATCTCTGAGATTCATCCATATTGTGTGCAACAGTAGTTTGTTCTTTTTTATTGCTGAGTAATATTCCATTGTACAATTATACTGCAGTTTGTTTATCCATTCTCCTATTGATAGACTTTTGGGTTGTTCTCAGTTTTTTCTTTGGAGTTTTTTGTTTTGTTTTTTGCTGTTGTCACTAAAGATCCTATGAACATCCCTGTACATATCTTTTTGTGGGCACATGTCTTCATTTCTCTTAGATAACTACCAAGGAGAAGGATTGCTGGTTTGAAGGGTAAATCTATGTGTAACTTTATAAGAAACTCCAAAATCTTTATCCAAAGTGATTATAGCATTGTACATTTCAACTAGCAATGTGTGAGAGTTCCAGTTCTTCCAGATCTTTGTCAACATTTGGTGTTATCTGTCTTTTAAATTTTAGCCACTCTAATGGCTATATTGTGATATTTCATTGTAGTTTTAATTTGTATTTCCCTGATGCCTACTGGTCATTCATGTGTATCTTTCTTTGTAGAGAGTCTGTTCAAGTTTTTGCTTCCTCTCTTTTTTAATAGGATTGTTTGCCTTTTTATTATTGAGTTGTAGGAATTCTTTATATATTCTGGAAACTTGCCTACACTTTTTCTTAATAGTGTCTTTTGATTAGTGAAAAATTTTAATTTGAATGAAGTTTATCAAATTTTCATTTATGATTATTGCTTTCTAGGTCTTATCTAAGAAATTTTCATGTACCTCAGGTCAGAAAGATATTTTCCTATATTTTTTCTGAAAGCTTTATAGCCTTTGCTTTGTGTTCAGTTTCATGATCCATTTCAAACTAATTTTTGAGTATGCTAGGTGGTGGGATCCAAGGTTTGTTTTCCCCATATGTATATCCAGTTGTTTCAACACAATTGTAAACATTTTCCTTACTCATTGAATTGCTTTGATAACTTGGTTGAAAATTGATTGACCATATAAATATGGATCTATTTCTGTACTCTATTCTACTTCTTTGATATTTTTGGTCTATTTTTATGCAAATACCACATTGTTTTGATTACTGTCCTTATATTGCAAATCTTGAAATCAGATAGTACAAGTCCTACAATTTTGTTCTTTTTGAGGACCACTTTGGTTCTATGTATTTCCATTTAAATTTTAGAATTCAGGAGGAGGCAGCACACTTAAGCACATGATATTCCAACAGCTGAATACAATAAAAAATGGCGGGAAGAGGTGGGAATCGTACAGGGAGCAAGAGAAAAAAAATCACGTTACATACAAAAAGGATAAAAATACAACAGATTTCTCATCAGAACGTATGCAAGCCAAAAGACAATGGGATGAAATCTTTATGTTTCTGGATGGAAAAAGCCTGCCAACCTAGAATTCTATACCCACCAAAATATCTTTCAAAAATAAGGAGAAACAAAGACCTTTCAGACAAACAAACACTGAGAAAGTGTATTGCCACCATAGTTCCACTGCAGGAAATAGTACAGGCAGTTCCTTGGTCATATGGAATATAATATCTATTTACATTTGAAACTTGGATGTTCATAAAGAAATGAAGTTCTATAGAACTATCTAATAGTTAGATTGAAGGTATATATAAGAAAAAATTTTAGAATTGTCAATTTTTTTTTTTTTTTTTGAGACAGAGTCTCAGTCTGTTGTCCTGGCTAGAATGAGTGCCGTGGCATCAGCCTAGCTCACGGCAACCTCAAACTCCTGGGCTCAAGTGATCCTCCTACCTCAGCCTCCCGAGCAGCTAGGACTACAGGCATGCGCCACCATGCCCGGCTAATTTTTTCTATATATATATTTTTAGCTGTCCAGATAATTTCTTTCAATTTTTTTTGTCAGTAGAGACGGGGTCTTGCTCTTGCTCAGGCTGATCTCAAACTCCTGAGCTCAAGCAATCCTCCCGCCTTGGCCTCCCAGAGTGCTAGGATTACAGGCGTGAGCCACCGCGCCCGGCCTTATCTTTTGACATCTTATCTTTTGACATCTCTTGCTTCCCATGTTATGTGGATTATGGGTGTACTTGGAGAAAAAGCTGCAAAGCTGCAAATCTCATTAAGTGAAGTTCCTTTTTTTCCAAGAATAGGTTTCTTGCTTAATACTTTATGATGCTGAAAAAAAAAGAATAGGTTTCAACCATTCATTTGACCCTATCAGTTCTCCGAGATATAGACATGCAAATTGCCTTCAGTTCTCCCCCACTACAAATAACACCGCACTGAACATCCCTCTATATGTTTTTAAAATTATGATAAAATATACATAAGGAAATTTACCATTTTAGCCATTTTTAAGTGCACAATTCATTGGCATTAAGAGCAGTCACAAATGTATGCAACTATCACCACTATCCATTTCCAGAACCTTTTAATCACCCAAAACAGAAACTCTGTACCCATTAAACATAATTCTTCATTCTCACCCCTCCTCAGTCTCTGGTAACCTTTATTCTACTTTCTGTCTCTATGAATTTGACTCTTCTAAGTACTTCATATTAGTGGAATCATATAATATTTATCCAGTTTATTTCACTTAGCATAATGTTTTCAAGGTTCATTCATATTGTATCATGTATCAGAATTTTCTTCCTTTTTAAGACTGAGTAATAGTCCATTTATGTATATACCACATTTTGTTCATTCATGGTTTGGTAGACATTTGGGTTGTTTTTGCCTTTTGGCTATTGTGAACATTGGTGTACGTATATTTTTTTAAGACACTGTCTAATAACTTATTTAGCATACATGCCTAGCAATAGACTTGCTAGATCACAGAGTATTTGTAATCTTAGTTTGCCAAGAATTTCTAGATGGCTGTACCAGTCTACATTCTCAGCAGCAGAGAGTTCCTGTACCTCTGCATGCCCACCAACACTGGCATTATCCAGCCTTCTAATTTTTGCCAGTCTAACAGCTATAAAATAATACTTATTTTTCTGATTACCAGTCTCTAGTATTTATAATCTTCTCCATGTTTAAAGACCTCTAAAGGAAGCTGTAGGTTCCTCTACCATCTTCTGCCCTGGTGTTTAACCAATTGCTGTTTAGAAAACTATTCTGACCCAATCTTTCTTGCTGCTAATGAACCCAGCTGTTAATCTGTTTGTTTTAATCAAGAATAGCACAGGGGCCGGAAGTGGTGGCTCACGCCTGTAATCCTAGTTCTCTGGGAGGCTGAGGCGGGCGGATCGTTTGAGCTCAGGAGTTTGAGACCAGCCTGAGCAAGAGCGAGACCCCATCTCTACTAAAAAATAGAAAGAAATTAGCCAAACAACTAAAAATATATAGAAAAAACTAGCCAGGCATGGTGGCACATGCCTGTAGCCCCAGCTACTTGGGAGGCTGAGGCAGGAGGATTGCTTGAGCCCAGGAGTTTGAGGTTGCTGTGAGCTAGGCTGATGCCACAGCATTCTAGCCTGGGCAACAGAGCGAGACTCTGTCTCAAAAAAAAAAAAAAAAAAAAGAATAGCATAGGAAGGAGCCCTCTACTTTCCACAGTCTCATTTTGGACTATCTTCTCTTCTAGCCCTTAACCTCAGTAGAAACCTCCCCAGAATCCACCACCCAGATCTCAACCTCCCCAGAGTCTCTGCCAACGCGGTCCACGTCTGCCACCTCTGAGTGCAGTAGCCCAGAGATTGACGGGATGGTCTCCTTTAAACACAGCCAGCAGCAGATCTCCCAGGAGCGCATCCAGGAAAAAATATCGAAAACTTCTCTGTCTACAAAATCCCTTAGCTTCTCAGGGAGTCTGAACCCGAGCTGGGCGTCACTAAAGAATGACGTGAAGAAGCAGCAGCTGATGTCAGAACTATTCACCAAGGTTCACCTGAGGAGGCAGCTGTCCTCGTTCCCAGCTCACTACAGCACAAAGCTGGTGACCAGTAGACAGTCACGTGAGTGCCCGTGTGTACGGGGCTGTGCCAGGAGCTTAGGGGTGAGGCGAACCAACAGATCGAGTCCTAATCTTTGAGGTGCCCCCAGTCTGGGAGCAGGGACACAGCTTCTACGCTCAAGGAGACCCCAGTCTGACAGTGGAGACATAGTCCATAGCCCATGCCCTTAGGGAGTCTAGTCTGATTGGGAAGACAAAAAGATAAAATAAAATAGAATGCTATGTCTGAGTCCCCTTTCACTCTTCGACATTTCCTGGTTCTCCTTCAGATGAGGCCCATGCAGCTGAGTCTGTCCCAGGTACGGACGTTAAGTATGAAAACTAGGGCAGGAGAGCTGTTTGGAGGAAAGGAGCAATGGCTGACTCTATACTAGTTCAGAGAGCTTCAGCCACTCCCAGGCCATGGGATCCTAGGGGGAGGTGGGCTTTACCAGGAATTCGTGCTGAATCCAGCAGCACAAATAGATGATGCCGATGCCTTTGCCTTTCCAGGAAACGGCTCCCTGCCCGTGGAGTGTTACTTCCGCAGCCGCAGCTCTGGTGAGAAGAGGCAGCCGGATGTGGCCTCCCTCCTCCTTTTGCAGAGTCCTCAAAGCTACAATGTTTCTCTGAATGACCTGCTGGTGGCTACTCCAGCCCGCCTGGATCCGAGGCCCAGCAGAAGCCGGACAGGTGCTGTGAGGGACCTGAGGACACAGGATCGGGGAGCGTGCAGTCACTGCCTGATCTCTGGCCACCAAGGATGTGAGAGGACCTAGGTAGGCCTACCCAGATTCCCTTAATGTAGTTAGTGCATTGGCGGGCGCTCCCTGTATTTTTCTGCAATGCCAGGTAGGTAGGAGGACGGGTGGACTGATAGAGGGAAGTGGACAATTAAGACTCAACTCAGTCAAAATGTGACCCCCATGCTATGTGTATTTCTGATCCGACTGGTCTGCCCCCACCACAAGGGGCACTTTGCCTTGTCTTCCACTTATGGCTAAAATTGAGGGAGTCCAATATGCAGGTCCCAGAAATAGAACCATGCCAACCACCAGGGGTTGATTTTCACACCCTTCAAGCTGTGCCAGCCTGGCCTAAGTCCCTTGCCCCAAAGGCTGGCCCTGTAATGGAGCGTACTGAGGGGACAGAACAATAGGACCGTAGAGCCTGAGAAGATGTGGAACCAAAGAACTTTGAGAAGCTTTGATTCCACCATGTGAAAGGACCAAGGACATGGTAAGAAGCCCTCCGTCAGAACTTTAATGCTTCTGAAGGAAGGTTGCGTGTAAAAACTTAGGAGAACTCCGCAGCATAGCGTTGCGTGGTGTAGAGGTGTCTGTGCTGCTTGGCTGCCTACAGAAGAAGGTTAGAGATTTCAACTGTCTCCCTCGCCCTTGCCACCTGAGGCAGACTGTGCCCAGACGCTCTGACCTGGCCTCCTTGTGCCCAGTAGCTCACATGGCTGGAGGGCCTGTGAGGAAACATCAGCCCACAGGCATCCCCTTGGGTGCTTGTAAAAATGCACGTTCCAGGGCCCAGTCCCAGAAATTCTGATCCAGTAGGGTCTGAGTGGGAAGCCCAGGAATCTACATTTTATGAAGCTCCTTTAGTTGATTCTGATACTCTTCTTCCTGTCCTCAGAGAAGAACTGGGTCTGATGTTCCCCAAACTTCCCTGCTGATAAGAATCATGGCTGGGCCTTGTTAAGCCTGTAGTTTCCCAGGCCACACACCCCGGAAATTTTGACACAAGAGGTCTGGGATAGGGCCCTGGGAATTCATCTTTTGGTCAGGTATCTCAGGTGTAGGTAGGAAGGAATGTCTTGCATCTAGTCCCAGGCCTGGGCAGAGAAGCCTATTACAGCCGGCCCTGACCTATGGGCCTGTCATCTGGTGAAACTCCCTGGTCCTTGTGGAGCTCCCCCTACAACCCCACTGTCTTAAGCACAAGATGCACAATATGCTGGTACTGGAATTTTAAGTAAAGATGATTACTGATGTGTTGCTATTTCTGTTCCTACTATTACAAAAAGGGATGGTGATGTAGCGAATTGCAATGAAAACTTGTCTTCAATAGGACTATTAAAAGTAATAACAATCCGAAGCCACACAAAGAAAAGGAGGAGATAATTAGATTGAGAGGTGTGATAAAGTGCACTGACCATTGAATTTGGCTGTGAACTTCTTAGCAGAGAAGGCCAAACATAGCATTCTGTTTTGATCTTTTTTATCTGTCCAATCAGAAAAGAGGCTCCCTCGTGGCATGGATTATATCTCTACCATCAGACCAGGGTCTCCCTGAGGGCAGGGGCTGTGACCCTTCCTCCCAGACTGGGAGCTCCCAAAAGATTAGGACTGGTTCTGTTGGTTCCTCTCCCCCCTAAGCTCCTGGCACATCCCTGTATACACTGGCACTCACTTGCTTTGGGTTCTAGTGAGTTCTATATCCCTGTGTACACTCGGCATTAGTTTGGGGTTGTAGTGAGCTGGGAACGAGGAGAGCTTCCCCCTTAGTTGAATCCTGGTGAATATTTCTGACATCAGACGCTCCTTCGTGCCATTCTTTTTTTTTTTTTTTTTTTGAGAGACAGAGTCTCACTGTGTTGCCCGGGCTAGAGTGCCGTGGCGTCATCCTAGCTCACAGCAACCTCAAACTCCTGGGCTCAAGTGATCCTCCTGCCTCAGCCTCCCGAGTAGCTGGGACTACAGGCATGTGCCATCATGCCTGGCTAATTTTTTCTGTGTATTTTTAGTTGTCCAGATAATTTCTTTCTATTTTTTCAGTAGAGACGGGGTCTCGCTCTTGCTCAGGCTGGTCTCGAACTCCCGAGCTCAAACAATCCACCTGTCTTGGCCTCCCAGAGAGCTAGGATTACAGGCGTGAGCCACCGCGCCTGGCCCCTCATGCCATTCTTTAGCAAAGTCCAGCTTGGGTTCAGACTCCCTGAGAAGCTCTGGGATTTTGTAGGCAGAGAAGGTTTCAATATTTTCTCGTAGATAAGTAAAAATAAGTTTAGTAGTTCTCTAGGAGAGACTTTTTCCCCTGGCTCTGATTTTTAAGAGCAGTGTACCATGTGAAGTCTCATAGACTTTTACTACTATAGTTGGCAATGTCTGAAGGCACTACTATATTTTTTGTTAATATTAATAATGATAATAGTTACCCTTTTGTTTTATTTTTTGTTTTCTGGGGTTTTTAAAATTGTTTTGTTTTTGTTTTGAGACAGGGTCTTGCTCTGTTGCCTGGTCTAGAGTGCAGCGGTGTCATAGCTCACTGCAACCTCAAACTCCTGGGCTCAAGCGATTCTCCTGCCTCAGCCTCCCCAGTAGCTGGGACTTCAAGCTCATGCCACCACACCCGGCTAAATTTTTCTTTCTTTTTTTATTTTCTGTAGAGACAGGGTCTTGCTGTATTGCTCAGGCTGGTCTCAAACTCCTGGCCTCTAGTGATCCTCCCACCTCGGCCTTCCAAGGTCCTAAGATTACAGGCGTGAACCACCATACCCGACCTTAGTTACCCATTTTTTCTAGCCTATTGTAGAGGTGTCAGCACTCTTCTAGATAAATATTTTACCTGATTTAATTCCAATCACAACTGTATACTTTGGAAAAGAAAAAACTGAGGCTCAAAGTACATAGGCTTAACATTCGGAAGGCCCCACAGCTTTTGCCTGGCAGAATAAGGATTCTAGTCAGTTGCTTCTGATTCCCAAGCCCCACGTTTTTGAAGCCACCCTATCTGTCTTTCAAGTGGCACTTTTCACATTAGTCTTCAGTTAAAGCTGAGGGTACAATTAATAATGGCTCTTGAATGAAGGCATTTCTGCAGGTAGCAGAGATGGCAAAGCCCAAGCAGGCCTCCTAGAATACCATGTGTGGGTCTCCAGATCTCAGAGCTGGCCCTCTGCTTTTAGGCCAAATAATGGTTTCTGGAAATTCTCTCCAAAATAATCAGGCCATAAGGACTACACATAAGAAAGCAAACTCACAAAAGACTAATTATATACAACAGAATGCCCATCTACCAACGCATTGATTCACAAATAGAGCAGGGTGTGGTATGGGAAGAGGGCTTCCGTATCATAAATAGTGATTGAAAGAGAGAAGGAGGAGCAGGCGGAAGTCCCAGTTGTGGATCCGGGGTTTCCTTGGTCAGTTTCATAACATTAACACCTTCCACGTGTCAGGTCTCCAGACCGTATCTCACGGAATCCTCACATTGCTGCTGTGAGGTTGCAAGGCGGATGTTGTTACCTTATCCCCAACTTGCAGGTGAAGAAAATCAAGGTTTTGAGAACATTAAGTAACTTGCCCAACCTCACACAAGCGATGGACTCTGGACAAAAAGCCTTGTCCTGACCCACGTGAGAAATGGATCCCTGATGAATTCCTCCATTTTTCTGCTCGTGTCACTATAATCCATCCTTCCACCGGAGCCACTTTCACAGTGGGTTGGTCACAGAGCCCAGGGTGCACATCTGTATAACAGTTGAATTCTAGGGGATAAATAAATAACCCATGTTGTAGGATTTTAATGGTGAATCAGTGGCTTGGTAAAGCGGAGTACCTGGCATCTTACAGAAGAAATGGTAGCTGCAATCATGGTGAGGATGGTGATCATGATGATATTGTGCTGATGGTGATGAGCCCAGCATGGACTGGACCACTTGCTGTTGGTGTACTAAAAGCTTTGCATATATTATCTCAGCCCTCAAGGCATTGTTATTCTCTTTTTTCAAATGGGAAAACCACACTTAGGTTAAGTAACTCGTCCAAGGGCACACAGCTCCTTAACCACTATCATATATAATCTCCAGTCAACCACACTGGCAGCTCTTAAATGATCCATACCAAATGTTTGGAGCAGGAAGGCTGCAAGAAGATGAATGTTGTGTAGATAAAATGAGCTTCTGGTGACTGCCGATGTGAGTCATCAAAGTGCTTTTCATCCACTAGATAGCAATGGTGATGATGAGTTAATTGACTTTAATATTCCAGAGGCCATTTTAAAAGGAAATCTAAGAAAAGTCTTACCCCACCCCAGAACCAGGCTGTATCTCTGCCATTTTTTCCCTTCCTACCTCTTACTCGCAGGAAATGATTTGTCTCTTCCCACAGTGTCTCCAGTGTTCACAGACTCAACTGAAAGTTTCATTTCCTCATCTAGACGTCCTGGTCTTACAGATATCTCTCATCAGCAGCACTGAGGCTAATTACCTTGCCTCTGTGCCCACCCAGATGGCCTACAGTGCTATAGGACCCCGACTTCAGCATGTTGATGGGTGCTGCCCCAGGACTCACCCCGGTTGCTCTACCTGTGGCTCTTCTCTGTGTCCCTGACATGGCACCACCACCCAGAATATTCCTCCAGGGAAGAGTCATGTTTCAGAGAAGGACTCATGATTTCCAGGAGTCCAAAGCCCTCAGGTCACCAGCGGGACTGTGCCAGTTAAGCCTTCATCTCTGAAGATAAAACACAGGGACAGGGCTGGGCACGGTGGAGAGCTCTGAGCCCTGAACAAGAGAACTGGGGCAGTTGCAACTTCCCCGGGTAAAGACCAGACCTCCTCCCACTGCAGCCAGCCCAAAGACCTGCCACCTTGGTGCCCAAACATCTTCCTGCTACCTCCCTTGCCAGCCCAACTCAATCCCACCAGTGAAGGCAGAGGTGAGGCAAGAGTATCCAGCCTGAAGATCTTTCTTCCATCCACATGCAGAAACCATGGACCTTCCCCCCAGCCCCTGTGTCCATTAATAAAATAAATCGCCATGCTCAA